GCGCCATCGTGGGTTTATTTAAATATCAGATACATAAAACAAATGATGTTTTTCAAACTCTTGGTAAAGAGACTGTGGAGTAGCTGCTGGCCCATGCCTGTAATCCCAACATTCTTGGAGCCAGAAACGGAGGATTGCCTCAGGCTCCTAGGGTAGCGCAGGAAGTAGCAGGCCAGCCTAAGCTCGGTCCTGACTGAGTAGGGATGAGACTGAGTGAATTATAGCAGCTGTGTTGGAGGTAGGGGAAGGGTCAACAGGTCAATGTTTCCTTGACTCCTGCGTTTTGAGAGAATGAACTGATCAACTGAGAGACACAGTTGATTTAAGCAGTTTATTTCGCACAGCAAAGGATAGTACAGTACAGAAAGAGACAGGAGGAGTTGGGAAGGACTCACCAGAGGGGCAGGTAGAGGTTCCCCTTCTAAATTATGGGTGAATTGGCTGGGAAGGACTCACCAGAGGGGCAGGTAGAGGTTCCCCTTCTAAATTATGGGTGAATTGGCTGGGAAGGACTCACCAGAGGGGCAGGTAGAAGCTCCCCTTTCAAATCATGGATGGACTGGATCTCTCTTTGAGAGGGTATTTCTTCCCATAACCCTCTTGACAGGCCTGGAGGATACAAACCCACTGTCTAGGCGACTCCTCAGTGATGTCTGTCTTGTTGGTGATGCACACTTTTTGTTAGTGCACACATGTGGCCTTTGGGAAAGTGCCCTGGTGTTGCAGATTCTCTTACAGCCAAAATAATGCTGTAATACAGAGAGCGCTGGGAGTCTTTGTCCTGGGTTCTGCAGACAAGGCTTTGTATTTTACAGAGGAGAGGGTGTTTTCCTTGAACATGTTCCGTCTTCTGCTTCTCTGCCAGAACAGCCTGCAGCTTCAGGGAGGTTTGACCACGAGGGGATTTCTGATCTTCTGGAGAGGGCCACCAAGATGCAGCTGCGGTTTCCTTGGTTACCTCAGCACTGGCTTTGCCTGTCTCAAAGGGACGGATTTCTTATTTCACTGTAGAGGAGTAGTACACACGCGCGCGCGCGCGCGCGTGCGTGCGTGTGTGTGTGTGTGTGTGTGTGTGTGTGTGTGTGCTCGTGCGCATGCGTGATGAGAAGCCCTCCTGAGATGTCATAGTTTACTCTGCGGCTCTGGTCATTTGGCCTGGAGGGCTGTGTCTCCTCCACAGATGTCTTTGTGGGTGCCCAGTCCTAGTCTGTCAAATGGTTTCTAGAAAATGTCACCCTCATCTTCTTTCCTGCTGCTGCTAGCTTCTTTGTTGACCCTGCTCTCTTTGGGGATTTATATTTGGCTTCTCCAGAGCTTATTTCCTGGTCCAGTGTTGATTTAAAATACATTCTAGACAGTATGGATGCCAGTTTTGGACCAGACAACAAGGGTGGCTAAAGAACTTTTGTAAAAAGGACGGCTTGTTTTTCTAACACCCATTGAGCGGTTGGTGAGGTGTGACGTTTTCCCTGCTTCAGGGGCCCTCTCTGTCATGCTTCCCATCCCTTCTTTTCCCCTCACTCACCTAGATGTTGTCACCCTGCCCTTTGGCATCTCTGCCGAGGGAAGGCTCCTTCCTCATGGCACTCCCTGGGTCCTGTTCAGCCTCGGAGAACGCTGGGAGTCTTTGTCCTGGGTTCTGCAGACAAGGCTTTGTATTTTACAGAGGAGAGGGTGTTTTCCTTGAACGTGTTCCATCTTCTGCTTCTCTGCTTCACACGGGAATGCTGCTTGGTGTAAGCACAGCGTTCACTTACTGCAATCATGGGGCTTCGGGCTCTTCGATCTGGGGAAAGCGAACTTTTGTGTCACAGTCTACCAATTAATAGTAGCTGAACACACCCTGAAAAAGTCCACAGATTAGAAGTACTGAGATGTAATTACGACAGAACAGCTTTCTGCTCAGTTTCTGGCTCCTTGTTGTTGCTCAGTCCTTACTTGGGTCCAAATTAAATGAACCTTAAAATCCTGATGCTAGGAAGATAAATATGAACAAACATGAATCATGCTGTGTTCTTGTTACTGGAGTTAGAAACTTTGTGGTCTGTCTTCATTTCCAATTTTTGATTTTAAAAATATATAATGCTATACAAAACCCTGCTGGTGGTTATGTATTTTTGTGTGTAAGGTTTGTGTTATGCGCAGATGTATATTTTATGAGTATACATACATCTACTTTCAATATTTTACATGTATGGGTATTTTGCTTGCACGGCTGTGCACCCAGTTCATGCAGTCCCTGCTGTGGCCAGAAGAGGGTGCTGGATGCCCTAGGGCTGGAGTTGCAGATGGTTGTGAGCTGCTCAGTGGGTGCTGAGAACCAAGTCTGGAAATGGACTATAATGGTGGATTAGGGTTTTGAAGAGCTGAGTTAAGGGAGTGAGGCACAGTTTCTGCAGGTGTGGTAAGGACTGAAGCTGAGAGAGCTTTGTTGTTAATGCTGACGGCACCAGCCTTGGTGAGAACTTGTCCAGACAGCTCTGTTGGTGCCCAGGAGCCTCTTCCAATGGCCTCTGTGGCTTTTAAATTTGTGCCCATGCTCATTGGTTGTTGCTCCAGGCCTGACCTCTGCCCAGAGCTTCTCTATGGTGACACCAGAAGCTCTGGGTGCCCAAAAGCCAAGTTTGGTCTTCTTCCCTAGTGTCTTCTGCACTGTAGTAACGGGCATTCCTAACCTTCCTCCAATCACTGTGGACTCACACTGAGCAGATTCTCCATACTCTGAGAAAAGAGCTGAGCACCGCTTGCAAGGGCAGGGGCCTATTTTGATTTCTGGTTTTAGAGTTTGTGGCCGTGGCCTTGTGGTAAGCGCAGCTGTCAGTCATGGCATCTAGGGAGCAGGAAACAGGAAACAGGAAGGAGGGAGAGGCCAGAGTTCAGTATGCTCTTCAAGGGCGTATCTCCAATGGTCCAACTTCCTCCTACATGCCCAACCTCCTGAAGGTCCCCTCAGCTTCCAGTAGAACCTCCAGCCTTCCACATAGGCCGTTGGAGAACTCAAGTGTGAAGCCATAGCGTGTCCCTTTCTCTTCTTCTGCCCAGTCCTGAACCCCGTTTGTAAGTCACATCCATTTCAGCCCCTAACACTGCCCACTTCTTGCCTGGTGTGAATTTGCCCAAGTAGTTACAGCCGTTCCCTCTCTAAATTCATTTAGACTTTGAGGAACACTTACAAGTCACAGCGAGTTTCATGACTCTGATGGTCATAAAAATCTATATAACTCACATTGAGTTGAATATAAAAATGTAAGTAAAACAAGACATAATTTCTTTTGGTTAAGTCCATAAATGACCCTGAGAGGCAAATCTAAAACAATCATTTCAAAAATGATTTGTTCTGGAGTCAGTGGGATGAATATTTAATTGATCAAACTTTCACTTCCCTGGATGTTGACTCGGTTTTATGGGTCCAGATTATTACTTGAATTTGTGTTGCTTCTTTATGATCACACTTCTATTAAGACTTCATGGAAAATAGAGCGATGTGTTTACAGCCTTGTGACACCAACAGAATAGGGACTCTGGAGCTGAACCGTCTGGGTCAGTACCGAAATGCCTTTGCCCGTCTCTAACTGTGTGGTTATAGGCACGTTCACACTCCCCGTGCCTCAGTTTCTTCATTTGTACAATGGAAGTGATGAGAGTTTCTGCCCTAGGGTTTCTGAATAGGATCGAATGAGATCTTTATGTAAAACCCTAGCAGGGGGAGACAGACGCCTTCATCAGCAGTGGGGTGGTCTGACACAGTAACGCTCACTAGAAACCCCAGGGAGCTCTGAGCACAAACAGAACATTTGCTTTTGAACCGTTAAGGACATTGCAAGGTTTCAGAAATTGCTCTGGTCCTCTATGAAAAAGATATTCAAAGGGAATGTGTATCAATTGTTTACAAAGTGAGAGAAATACACTAATAGTTTCAGTGTTCAAAAGAGAGAGATCACTTCCACCGAATGACAGAAAGCAGCTTAGGACAGCTTATAGACAGGGTGGGGAAGGACTGGCTGGTGTGCGCATGCATGAGGAGCTGAGTTCAGCTGCACAGCCCTCACAAATACAGCTAGGCGCCATAGGACATTGCTGCAGTGATTGGTGCTGCGGCGGTCACGGTGCTGCGGCGGGCACGGTGCTGCAGTGGGTACAGCAGATTGCCTGGGGGTTTCTGGCCAGCCAGCCTGGTCGAACTGGTGAGAGACCCTGTCTCCACAAATGAGATGGAGAATGACAGAGGTCCACCTGATATTGACCTTTGACCTCCACACATACGCACACATGCACACATATACACATGAAAAAAAATTATTTGTCATGAGATCGTTGTTTTTTTAAATGACCAGTTTCAGATACAGTGAAACTGGAATCTGGGGCCCTTTGACCCGGCCATGTGCAGGACAGGTCAGTAAGAGCTGCTGCCGCAGGGCTGGGATTCCACACAGTAGGAGAAACACAGAGAGAGCCCTGTTCCTGCGTCTCTGGCGGGGCAGCTGTTGTGTTATTTCTGCTGCCCACTGGCCGCTGCTCACAGTGGCTTACATGCATGTGTGGTTTAAAGGTATCTCAAGGAATTTCATCTTAATCGATGATGCTGTCAACCATACATCATTGAAGATAGGGATTAAACAAATGTAAATTACTGACACGTGTGTGTGTGTGTGTGTGTGTGTGTGTGTATGGTTTTTCAAGACAAGGTTTCCCTGTGTAGCCCTGGCTGTCCTGGAACTTGCTCTGTAGACCAGGCTAGCCTCGAACTCAGAGATCTGCCTGCCTCTGCCTCTCCGAGTGCTGGGATTAGAGGTGTGCTCCACCACTGCCCAGCTGAGTGACTGATGCTGATGCATGGATTAGTTATGCTTTTCAAATGTAGACATACCTTCCTGGAATGTGGCTAATTACTGTCAACCCAGGACTGCGGAAGACACATGCGCAGCTGGACAGAGTACCTTCAAAGTCTCATCCCAAGAGAAGGGCAAAGAGACATTAACCCTTTGATTCTCTTCCCGCAGTTGGCCCGCCACAACAAACCTCTGCAGCTGATGCTCAAGCCTGGGTCTGATCCCGAGGAAGGGGACGAAGCCTTGAAGTATTACGCCAACCACACCGCACAGATCGAGGTACCTGCCTGGGACTTCCAGGAAAGGCCCAACTGGGAAAGAATGGGTTTCCTGTCCAGCGGAGGCTGTTTCCATGGCTTCCCTCAGAACTGTGAAATAATACTTGATGATTTATGTGGAAAAACCTGTCCCCCAAGCTGATGCCTGACAGCTGCCCGTGGAAACCGAGTGTCCACCTTGCCAAGTCTTTTCTCTCCCTGGAACTAATCTGAAGTTTTTGAAAGGGAGACAGTACATTCTTTTCTCTCTCTCTTTTGGGTCACAGAAGCAATCAGGACAAAGCAGTGACATTTTAGAGATAACACAATTAATTAAAAATTGTAGAAGCTCTTATGACTGAGATCATGACTGAGAGAGGATTTGAAGCTGGGCATGGTGGCTCATGTCCTTACTCCCAGCACCTCCCAGCACTTAGGAGACAGAGGCAGGCAGATCTCTATAAGGTCCAGGCCAGTCTGAGTCAGCAAGTCCCAGGCTCGCCAGAGCTACACAGTGAGACCTTGCTTCAAAAAACGCAAAGTAAAGTGTACAAACATGGGCAGGCTAATGAAATTTCATATTGGCATCGTACACTCAAAATAGCTAGCTGTCTACACTTTGATTGTCCGACAGCTGCCCTCTCCCTGCCCCAGGAATGAGGCATTACCTAATGTCTGATGGCAGAGCAGGAGCTGTGTGGTGACCCATCTGGCCATCATGTCTAGCGGGGGTGTAATTTTGATGCTTCTGGGCAGAATTAATCAGTCAGACACAGGTAGAGTAGTGGATGCTTGTCACTCCTGATTTACAAGCGCACACTCATTCATTCTGGTAGATGGGTTTTAGATTTTAGCAGAATGTATCACAAACACCATTGCCCTTTGGGGGGAGGGGGTAACTTCTATGCTTTGTTGTTTATTTTTGCCAAATCTTCCAACATGATTAAGCCGTATCACTTCACATCAAAAGCTGGCCTCTGCTCATGTGTGTCAGCCCCAACAATGTCACAGCCTGTGTCGGAATCGCCTGGCAAGAACCCATGCGTTAATGAGAACGGTAGCTTGTCGTGATTAGTTTAATAACCCTGGGAAGTGGGAAGAGGCTTTCCATGGGAGACTCTCCCATGATCCACATGGTACCTCCAGCTCCTCCCACAAGCCTCACTTCTTCAAAAGAAAGCATATCCAATTTTAATCAGTTGGTCATTGGAAAGATTGTATATATCTATGGAGAGGTCACACTAGACCATTGTAATTATCTATTGACCGTTCACAGTGCTGGCTCCCCTGACGGTGGTAGTGTGTGTGTGTGTGCGTGTATGTGTGTGTGTGTGTGATATTTTTGCATGTGTGTGTGTGTGTGTGGTCATGTTCCTTTGCATAGGAGGATACCCAAGGCTGATATCAGGAATCCTCCCCCATTGCTCTTACACCTTATTCCCCGAGGCAGGCCCTCTCAGTTGACCCCAGAGCCCAGTAAGATGGCCAGTCTTGCCACATTAACAGCTTGCTCTGAGGATTCCCTGGCTCTGCCTTCCAGGGCTGGAATGACAGGGAGCCTGGCGCACTTACTCAGCACTTAGTGGGTGCGTGGAGATCCGAGCTGTGGCCCTCATGTTTGCACGGCAAGTGCTTTAACCGCCAAGTCATCTCTCTCCTCAGCCCTTGGCGCTAACCCTTGAAGAACATCATGATTCTGAGTTCAGTTCCTGCTATATTGGGCTTCTCCTGCTTTCTTCACGTTCCATGCCACAGTGCTCCTAGCTAAGCATTTGAAAAATAATCTGGGGAAAACTAACCATATTTGGCTTCCTTCGGCTAACACATTGCCCTCAGCAGTTTCTCCGGTTTGTCACTGCCCTTTGTAAGTGTAACAGCCAGAATCAGACATGCCGTTTTGGCAGGAACTGAGCATGCTGCTCATCAAACACAGCTTACTTTCTCTAGGAAGCCCTAGGAATGTTTTCTAAAATTCTTGACACTGTCAGAGCAAGTAAACCTTCTCAGACTCTTTTCATGTGGTTGCCTACCCTACCAAATATATCTAAGGAGTTTGTACAATTGATATTGTAATTAAGTTTTTGACGTTAGCACATAAAGGGACTGGAGAGATGACCCAGTAGTTGAGAGCACTGGCTGCTGTCGCAGAGGCCTGTATTCAGACCCCAGCACCAATGGGGCAGCTCACAACCACCCATACCTCCAGTGCCAGGACTAAAACCAACTTAGGGAAGAGAGTTTATCTTGGCTCAAGGTTCCAGAAGGAGAGTCCGTAAGTCAGGGGCTCTGGGAAACAGGTGGCATGACGCACCTGTTAGCATCCTGTGTCCTGAGGTCTCTAGGTAGAGAGGTATTTTGTAATCACTGGAGTGAACGGGAAACGCCCTCATGGGCTTATGTATTTGAACACTTGGTCTCCAGGGGGTGCCACAGATTGGAGAGGTTGTGGAACCTTTAGGAGTTGCAGCCATGCTGGAGAAGTGTGTCACTGGAGTGGTCTTGCTCTCTCTCTCCCCCACCCTCCTGTATATGGATAAAATATGACCAGCCAGCTTCACGCTCCTGCCCCTCTTAGAGCACAAATTCTTAAGTACTAGATTCGAGGTCACCCAGCTGGTTCGTTGTTTCCCTTATTGGATCCATAAAATATCATTCATAAACTCATTTTCTAGTCTCATGTCTGTTCCCATGATAAAGCAGTCTTGCTAAAACCAACCTGGGGAGGACAGGGTTTGTCTGGTTTACATCCGCAGGTCATGGTGTAACACTGGGAGATGGGAGATGTTACGGCAGGTACCTGGACCAGATGCCGTGGAAGAATGCTGTGTCCTGGCTTGTCTGGACTCATGCTTAGATAGAGTTCTTACACATCCCAGGATCACAAACCTAGGGATGGTGCTAGAGCAGTCGGCTTGAGCTCCTACATCAGTCGATAATCAAGATGCCCACAGGCCAATCAGATCAAGGGGCTTGCTCCACAGCGCCTTTCTTCCAAAGGACTCTGGGAGTTGTCAAGTTGACAATTAGAGCCAACTACGGAACTTAGCCTAAGACCCAAAACTAGGGAAGCATAGGGTCCAGTTGCACATCCCTAGGGAACCCACTAGGTGTTTGGGGGGTAATTCAAAACTGGAAGTCATGCAGATGACACTCGTTAAAATCTGTGGGGGGGAAACAAACCAAAACCAGAAAGTCATGAAAACAGGAAAGAGATTTGTAGGGAAGAAGCAGGCATGGGAGCAGAAAGGAATAACGGGGTGGTGGTGATGATGTCACAGAAGAAAATGTGCAGTTAAGACAGGAAGTTAAACACGGAGCCCAGACTGAGCTGTGCAAAGGCTGAAAACAAACGTGAAATCCTTTGCAGATCGTGCGGCACGACAGGACTATGGAGCAGATTGTCTTCCCCGTCCCCAACATCTGCGAATTCCTCACGCGGGAATCCAAGTACCGCGTGTTCAACACCACGGAGAGGGATGAGCAGGGAAGCAAGGTGAACGACTTCTTCCAGCAGACAGAGGACCTCTACAACGAGATGAAGTGGCAGAAGAAGATCAGAAGTGAGTGAGACTCAGAGGCCCCTGCCCAGTTTATTTACATCACGGCTTGCTTGCCAGTTCAGTGTCTCTGAAACAGCGGCGGACTGGAGAGTGTAAGCTCCATTGTGGCTGTTGCTGAGTGGTCTGCAGCTCGGTGCAGGTAGAAATCCCAGGTTAATTGGACTGCCTGCAGCCGCTGAGTGTGCTTGTTAGTGTGTTATGAACTGCAAAGCTGCAGCTGCACTTTGTGCTGCTGAACTGAACGGTTGCAGGTGTGAAGTCCTGCACTAGCTCCTTGTCCTCAACAGCCAGTGCACCGCATGGGGCAGCATCTGAGCCAGTGCCTCGAGCCAGTGCCTCACGCCAGTGTCTGTGGTCAGATAGGCCTCCCTCCTCTCTCTCCCCTTCCATTCCCCTCTCCTACTCTCCCCTCCCCTCCCCCTTTCCCACTTTCCCCTTCTCTCCTCCCTCTACTCTCCCACTGTCCTCTCCCCTCCCCTCTCCTCCTTCCCCCTCCTCTCCCTTCCCCTCCTCTCTTCTCTCCTCCCCCTTCCCCACTCTCCTCTCCCCTCTCCCTTCCCCTCCCCTTCTCCCACTCTGTGTGTGTGTGTGTGTGTGTGTGTGTGTGTGTGTGTGTGTATTTAGACAGGGACTCACAGCTCGGTGAGTCTTCAGATGACTGAGTACCTGATCTTCCTGCTCCACCTCTCAGGTGATTTCCTGGCAGTCATTCTTTCTTCTACCTTCTCTTTCCGCCTCTAAATCCACCAAGCAAACCATCTCCAAACCCCTGTAATCAGAGAGAGCCATGAGATATTTCAATCAGAACCATCGCCGCATAGCTTTCTCCTGGTAGCCTAAAGTGTAACAACTCCCCTGTGTTTGGAAACACCGACTTTGAAATATTTTTTAATTTAAAAAATTTGTCATTTTACTGAGGCTGAGGAGATGTCCTAGGAGTTAAGAGCACCTGCTGTTCTTGCAGAGGACCTGGGTTCTGGTCCCAGCACCCTCGTGGCAGCTCACAGTCACCTGCAACTCCAGTTTCAGGGGCTCTGACACCCTCTTCTGGCCTCCAGGGCACCAAGTGCACACATGGTCCATGAGACAGTCATGTGAGCAAAACCCTCATGAGTGTAAAATTACAGCTTAAATCTGAAAAGTCATTTTAAGTTGTTTCGTAAATAACAACGATTGGGGGGTCAAGGACCTCTTGATATCAGATCTTTCTTGATTTTGGAGCCTTTTGCAGGCAGGAGGGCACGCGTTACTCATCTTTGCCATCCGGTGCCCTAGGCTCTTTCCTAAGACAGATTAGGAGCGGGGAGGCCTCCTTTGGGATAAGATGATGTCATGCAGGTTCAGTTCCCTGCGACACTCTTGCTCTGTAGAACTTTACCACACAGAACTCGGGAAAAAATGGCCATCTAATATATATGGAATATTCAAAAATTTTATCTGAGATATTTGGAAACTAATTTTTCTTCATGTAAAGTTAATTAAGTAACAAACTCAAATTAATTTAAAGTTAAATTAATAACAAACTGGGGCTCTGGGATCTGTGTTTTGTGACAAATAGTTTATTTTTATTAAAAAACCTTAAAGTAAGTCCTAGTGGACCTTGTATTTTAAATTTTAGAAGTAGTTGATCACAAGGGCATGAGCAGAATCTAAATGATTTTGTGGGTTTGTAGATACAAAGGCCCGACGGAGGTGTGGCCGTCTACAGTTCATGACCATTGCCCAGAGAGGTCCATTCCCAGCACAGCCTCTCCCTCTGTGGAACAGCCCCTCCAGGATGAGGGGAATGAGAGAACTCAGGAGGAGACAGTCTGTTAGTCAACAGTCCAGACTGCGATGTGGGCTAGATAAAAAGTGCATGATTTTTCTCTTTTCTATATCTTATCCCACTGACTCTGATATTTTATCTTTAAAGTTTTAATTCTAATTTTTAATTATGTGTATGCTTATTGTGGGCTTGTGCATGAGTGTGGTGCCTGCAGAGGCCAGAAGAGGGCATCATGTCCTGGGGTTACAGGCAATGGTTACCTCATCGGAACTGAACTGGGGTCCTCGGCAAGAGCAGGGAACGCTCTCAACTGCCGACCAAGCTCCCCAGCCCCGAGCTCTAAGATCTTAATATTTTAGGTTGTTTCATTTGAGACAGCGTTTCATGTAGCCCAGGCTAGCCTCAAACTCATTATGTAGCTAAGGCTAACCTTCAACCACTGGTCTTCCTGCTCCCACCACCAAATGTCTGAGTCATGAACAAGCCCACTGTGCCTGCCTCCTCCAATATTTTAAACCAAGTCAAGACATTACAAGTTGAATAATAGATAGGACCCATAGGGGCTGCTCAGCGTCCAGGGTAGGCTGGTAACTTCACCCCTCTACAAACCTCCCTGTACAGATTTACTTCTGTGATGGTTCACGGACACGTGGCACACACCGTCAGCGTAGCTGGGCTTGTGTTGACGGCAGCATATACTGACCATTCTCATCTTTGTGCTCCTTGCCTCCTAGACAACCCCGCCCTGTTCTGGTTCTCCAGGCATATCTCCCTCTGGGGGAGCATCTCCTTCAACCTGGCTGTGTTCATCAACCTGGCTGTGGCCCTCTTCTACCCGTTTGGGGATGACGGTGATGAAGGTAAGTGCTTGTGTTTCTGCAAATGACGTCTACCTGAAAATCTACAAATCACATTCACTAGCTCTCTGCAACTTTAGCATGAAGAAGCTTAGTTCTCATTAAATATTTTTTCTCTATTTATTGCAAGTATAGAGATACTAAGTAGGGTAGACAGAAAAGTGTGGCGAGTAGAAGTGCAGTTTTATGGAAAGCTCATATATGGTGTAATAATTAGAGGTAAGTGTTGGAAAATGAAATGGCATGATTGTGTTTCAACCTAGTCTATCAAACATATTTATACCGTCTTATCTCAGTTATGTGGGGGTCTTGTGCCCAAGCATTTTGATGAAATAGTAACAATTACAGTTTGCTTTCTGTCTTGTCTGAGGGTTTTGTAATGAACATATATGCAAAATATACATTTTGATTTTATACAGTGCATTTATAATATTCATAATCTTGGTCTTAGACACAGACACAGCACAAGACAGGCTGTGCTGACAGACAGCGATGGATGTTGACTGTCCATCTGATGGTATTGAAGCAGTCACGCATGAGCTTTACAAGAGGCAAAGACAGGGGAAATTCAACGTGAAGTGGGGTATTCCATAGAAACCGGGTGGGGCTTTCAGGTTTGGTAGATTGCTTTGGAAAAATCTGTTACAGGTGTGGGATATTAGAGTGGGTAGGAGACAAAGGTGAGAGAAATCAGCAAATAATAATCTCGGAGTGACCCCAGAGCTTGTGGGGCGTTAGGCTAATGACGGCTTGGCAAGGAGTAGCTGTTACCAGGCAAACACTGCCACTGCCCTCCTAGGGGGGACATGAGGTGTCGCACCATCGCAGCAACAGATAGGTACGCAAATTTCAGATGAACTGGAGGCAAAGAGGAGAGATGGGAGCCCAAGAGCAACTCCCTGTTTCCCAGTTTCTACATCAGGTCCCACGGGCGTCAATGTCTTCATCTTGGCTGCAGTTTGAGCAGTGTAAATAGAGTTTGTGGTGTTTTGGAAAACACATCAGAGACAGGGACCTCAGACGGCAGAGCAGAGAGGGGATCTCAGACGGCAGAGCAGAGACGGGGACCTCAGACGGCAGAGCAGAGACAGGGACCTCAGACGGCAGAGCAGAGAGGGGATCTCAGACGGTAGAGCAGAGACGGGGACCTCAGACGGCAGAGCAGAGACGGGGACCTCAGACGGCAGAGCAGAGACAGGGACCTCAGATGGCAGAGCAGAGAGGGGACCTCAGACAATAGAGCAGAGACAGAGACCTCAGACGGCAGAGCAGAGAGGGGACCTCAGACAGTAGAGCAGAGACGGAGACCTCAGACGGTAGAGCAGAGACGGAGACCTCAGACGGTAGAGCAGAGACGGGGACCTCAGATGGCAGAGCAGAGACGGGGACCTCAGATGGCAGAGCAGAGACGGGGACCTCAGATGGCAGAGCAGAGACGGGGACCTCAGATGGCAGAGCAGAGACAGGGACCTCAGACGGCAGAGCAGAGACAGGGACCTCAGACGGCAGAGCAGAGACAGGGACCTCAGACGGCAGAGCAGAGACGGGGACCTCAGACAGTAGAGCAGAGACAGAGACCTCAGATGGTAGAGCAGAGACGGGGACCTCAGACGGCAGAGCAGAGAGGGGACCTCAGACGGCAGAGCAGAAAGGGACCTCAGACGGTAGAGCAGAGATGGGGACCTCAGATGGTAGAACAGAAATAGGGACCTCAGATGGTAGAGCATGTATGTGACTGCATAGCAAGAGGAAGGCAGCAAGCGCATGTTCATCCACCATGCTAGCATTAGGAAGGCAGTTCATCTACAACAATAGAAGGGGAAAAATAGCAAAACATGTGTTCAGCCACCGTGCAAATAGAAATGGGAACACCTTTCTCTCCCATGTGTCTGGGCTTCTCTGGTAATGAGATCTTAATACAGAGGGGCACAACTCTATAGAGGAGAAGTCTGCCCTAAATGAGAAATTCATGTCACCTGCACTCAGACCTTTGAGGATACACAACAGAGTCTCAGTAAAGATCTGGAAATTGACTGAAAAATCAAGGAAAATCCAGAGGAGACCTTCAACCTCTAAAAGGAGCAGATCTAAGAGACACGGGGCTGGAGAACACAGCGCCTTAGGCTTCGTGGAGCCTATGACTGGATACAGATGCAAACACCACTCTTGGAAGGGTTTCTGAGTCAAGAGTAGCAAGATGGACGCTCAGTCTTAGGATATTAGAGGATGGGATGCTGCTTAGAGGGAAAGCAGAGCAAGAGACTAGGGGACAGCATAGAACTCCATGATAAACGGAAGTCACATGACTGCATCTTGGGTTAAAGTCTTGATGGAGGTTCACGCAATCTCTACCTCAACCACATGCTCCATGTAACCAGGAAGGCTGAGGGAACACGCCATTCTGGAGATGCACGCGACTGTAAGGTTGTCCAGGAGGGAAGCTGCTTTGTGCTGGTGGCAGTTCTCAGTGCTAGGGCTTTTCCGTCAGGCTGAGCCACTGCTCCCTGGGCTTACTGGATGGCATGAAAATTCAAGTTCCTCTAGGAAGTGCCTCGAAATGACAGGGACATACAAAAATGGTAGGTTCCAACTAGAAAGGCCTCCCAGCAACAGATCTGAGAAATGTTTGAGAGAAAGTAATTAGCAGCAATGCGTTGTAAGCCATGGAACAGAACTGACCCAAGGTCTGCAGGAATGGGAAAGAGAGCATCCTTTGCACTAATGTCCCAGGGAAGCAAGTTTAGGAATGATATAAATTTCTTGCCACCATTCGGTTGGCTGTAGTACTCAATGGATGCTAAAAGAAAGGGATGACTTTGAAGAAAGACACAAACATACCACATTTTAAGTATCTGCCCATGATCTGCTTAACCAGTTACAGAGGGGACAGGAGTACCTGTGAAACAGAGAAGCCACGAAATAACCGTGAGTGAGACACAGTCATGTGCCTCGGAGGATGCAGTGGCATGGGATAGACGTGAGTAAATGGAAGAAAACTTAGAAAACCCAGACGAGAGGTGTCCTACAGAGTACTTGGCCAGTGCTCCACAACCAAGCTCAGCAAAGATGCAGAACTGTTCCCGTGAACAGGCAGGGATGGAGGAGATGACAGGATCGTGACGCTGTCGGTCACAGATGTCATCATGCAATGCATTGGTATGTGGATCTAGATGAAGGGCCTGCAGATGGCTTCTCCACTATTTTTGCAGCTATTGCTTAAGTCTTAAGGAGCTCTGAAATGATATATGAAATTTAAAAAATAGAATCAAGGGTTCTGCCTATTCCTAGCGGGCATCATTTGGGGCAGGGAAGGCAGTCATGAAATTACCTGGAAAATCTGGGCCAGGCCTCCTCACCTTATTACAAGTCACGTTAGAGACACAGAGCCCTTGTGGAAAGGGGCCAGCAGAGGCATGGACTGTTCTTCCTCCAGGAGCAGTGGATGGGGGTGTCTGTCACCCAGGCTCTTGGAAGTGTCTTGTGCTTGACTGTCTTGTTTACATGTGGGTTACAACATTGTTTAGAGAACAATGTCTTTCAGTTGGGACGATGGCATAAAGGGATCCATGGGAGATGTTGCCTCTCAGATGAGCACCCCGGGGCACCATCCACCTCAGCTGCGGATGGACACTGCCAGGCCTTTGTGGAATCTGTTGATGCTAGGGCCTTCTCCTGCCATGCCAGCTGACCTGTTCTGGAACACTAGTCAGTGGACAGCTTTGTTATACTAAGATGGAATATCATTTTTTCAATCTAGAGGGTGGGCTTATTTTTCACATTTTGAGTGTAATTCTTCTCCCTCACCAACATTTTTGCTAAGGAAGATAAGATTCTTTGAGGTGATTTAGATTCACTCAGTTTCACAAGCATTTATGGGTACCGCTGTGTGCTAGGCACCATGCTAGGCTGGGAGATGCTAAGATGAGTTAAGCTGTTCTGTCCTCGAGGATCTCACGGTGTAGTTAAAGGACCAGGAAATGAGAAAGACACAAGAGCAAGGACTACCAGTGGATTTATGGATGGATGGCGAGTTTCTCTGGACCTGGGTGTAGGAAGCAGGAGTCTAACGAGCCTGCACAGGAAGCCCAGGCATGCAGAGGCTGAGGACTGAGAAGCAGCTGTGTGGGACAGGAAGCCACGAACAAATGAGCCTGCGGCAGCGCTCCAAGACTAGAGTGGAGCTGAAGTCCAGTTTGACTGTCGGAAACCTCTTACTTAGAGATATTGGGGAGTATAGAGGAATTCCTAAAAACACCTTCCCATTCGATATAATGCAGGCTTATTATGGAAAAGTAATAAAATATGCAAGATATTAAGAGAAAGAGTTCCCACTTGGTGGTAAGGATAGGCTATCATGCTCACTGGGTAGGCCGGGTTGGCCTAGATGGAATTCACTGTGCAGTGCAGGTCAGCCTTGAACTTAAAATAATCCTCCCGCTCCTCGGGTCAGAACTAACCCGGTGCTTCTCAGATGGTCACAGACTGTCATCAGTGAACACTGAATAACTGTTCATCTGTGTTCACATTCCACGCGGATACGGTAAATTGAGTGCAAGGTCTTGTGCCAGACAGTCAGCAAGCTACTTAAAAATGGATGAAACACCCGGTCTTGGGCGCATGGCTGTGCCTTCTCCTGTATCAAAGGGAGAGCCCCACAGGCCACACATCTGGGGCAGAGTAAAGGTGTGGGTTAATCGTCTGGCACTGGTAACAGTATGAGCATTTGTGCCACAGCTTAGCCTTCCAGAATATCATAGCAGACTTTATTTATGAATCAGCCTGGGAGTCACATGATGGGCGGGACATTGTCAAGTGTTCCCTGAAGATGTTAATTATAACACATGCTTAAAAGCAAAGCTAGGGGATGCTGGGAGACATCTAACAATTAAAAATATGCTTTTCTCTGTTATCTGAGCAGAGTTTGGGTCTTAGTATCCACGCAGGGTGGCACACAAATGCTTATAACTCCACCCCAAGGGATCCAGCACCTCTTTCTGGCCTCTGTGGGCATCTGCATATACCACATGCACGTGCACACACACACACACACACACACACTTGTACACATATATGCAGAACATACATAAAATAAAATAAAAAAAAAACTGGGGGCTGAGGAAATGGCTCAGTCAGCAGAGTGACTGCCACACAAGCCTGAGGCCCTGACTTTGCACGTCCAGAACCAATGAAGAAAGCCAGATGCAGCCGCACCACCTGGGGATTAATAAATATTTAGTTGCTTGCTCAGTATGAACTCCCCGAGAATATTTTGTCTACTTGATAAACAAGTATTGATTTATTGCTGCAAGTCCCACTGTGACAGGCTGGGGCCCCCGCACCCTTATAGAGTTTGTCTCTTAATGGAGACCTGAGAGCCGATACACACCTGGGATGGTAAAGGCTCTTCCTCTACTGCTGCAAAAGAGCTGTCGAGTCCAGGGAGATGGTGGCTGGCTGGGCTTGCTTTGCCAAGGCAGAGCATGTATAAGCCAGTATCAAAATAAACGTAAGTAGGCTATCCATTTTGATGATGAGGACGATGAGCTTTCTTTTCCCAATATTTAAAAAAACTCATTTAAATTTTTATCTATTGTGTGTGTGTGTGATGTGTGTGTGTGTATTTTTACATGTATGTCCATGCACATAGGTAGTGCCAATGGAGGCTAGAAGAGGGTGTTGTGTCCACTAGGACTAGAGTTACAGACAGTTATAAGCCACTGTGGGATTACTGGGAATTGAACCTGGTCCTCTGGAAGAGCAGCAAGTGTTCTTAACTACTGGACCAGCTCTCCAGCTCCATAACCTTCTTTTAATCACTGTTTATTTGGAAGCTGTTATAGCAACAAAATTATTACTATAATAAAATACCAGATTCTGGGTCTTTTATAAGGTAAATGTTTACTTAGTCCCCTGTTTTGGAAACTGGAAGCCCATGGCCGGCTATCATCATCGGTGCAGTCCAGGTGGGGACCCTCCTTGGTTACATCACAACTGATGGAGACGCAGACTGGGGTGTGCCTGTGGGGGGGGGGTCTTGTGAACAGGAGAGCTTTGCTTTGCAACCTTCTCCCAAGGGAGTGTCTGGTGCCTGTCCTGGCAGTGTCGATCCCTTCCAAAGACCTCTGTAATCTAGGCTCCCTCCTGCAGGTATCGCCTCTTAAAGATTCCATTGCTGTAATAATACTTCCCAAGGGCCTTGCTTGAAGTCTGGGGCCCTTGGGAGAACAGTCACACCATACCCAAACCACAATAGATAACATGACACAGAGTCAGGACTGAGGTGCATCTAAATTAATGCTGTATGTGGGTAGTTACAAGTTCCTGACAAAATCTTTGTGATTTTTAGGTGCATTGATCCTCAATGAACACAAAATCCATTAAAGCATATGTCTGGTTCACTGTAGAACTTCCGTGCTATTCCTGAAGCTTTGCTCATGGAATCACTCAAGGCGTTTTGCATCAGAACTCAGTGTTTTGGTAATAAGATGTGGCTGGAAGAATGATCATTATGGAGTATTTGGCACAGAAAGTTGGGGAGAAATCTCCAGTTTGTTGTGTTCCTCCTGAGATCCTGGTCCCCGTCAGCCAAGCCAATAATGCGGTGCCTAAAGTTGCTTCTGTAGATGCAGCACACGCCGCCCTGGAGAAGGGATGCCTTCGAGTATGCTCACCAGTTCACACGCCATAGAAATACACCTCTTTTCCAAGGAAAAAATTTAAACCGCCTTTGTAAAAAATTTCTAAGGAACTTGGTGTATAACAGTTTGTTTAAAAACCATTGGAAATTTTTCTTTTGCTTCTGTGCATGTGCATGCCTGCCTGCGTGTGTGTGTGTATGTATGCACACACATGTTTTTGTACATAGATATATGTGTGTAGGCAGATACCGCTCATTCATTTGCTGGCTACCCAGACCCGAATAATCACACAGAAACTATGTTAATTACAGCACTGCTTGGCCTATTAGCTCAGGCTTCTTATTAGCTAGCTTTTATATCTTAAAATAACCCATTTCTGTTATTTTGTGTATCACCACAAGGCTGTGGCTTACTGGGTAAAGTTCCAGTGCAATCATCTCCTTCGGCAGCTACAAGGTGTCTTTCTGACTCTGGTGTCTCTCTGACTCTTCTCTCTCTCTCTCTCTCTCTCTCTCTCTCTCTCTCTCTCTCTCTCTCTCTCTCTCCCCCCCTAGTATATTCTGCCCTGCCATAGGCCACAGCAGCTTTATTCATTAACCAGAGCAACACATGTACAGAAGGATCTCCCACATCATATGTGTATATAGGTGAATATGTATGCCTATGGAAGACAGGTCAACCTCAGGTATTATTTCTTATGACATCATTCACCTTGTATTTTGAGATGAGGTCCCTCAACAGCCCAGAATCTACCCATTCAGACAGACTGGCTGGCCAACACGGTCCATGATCTGCCGCCTTAGCACGAGGATTCCAACATGATTAGCTTTATTATTGGGGTGTTGGAGATCAGATCCAGATTCTCATGCTCATGAGGCAGGCACTTTCCTGGCTTGGCTGTCTGCCTAGCTCCAGAAGCTTTCATTTTTTGACGATTAAATAGCCTAGTATATTTTGGAACTTGAGTCAGTCTTCAAGTATATACAGTCATATTCCTACAGTCATATGCAGACCCATGTGTTTTAACACATAAAGTTGACTCATATGTAGATACCTGTACATGTGTTTTAACACTTAAAGCTTACTCATGTAGACGTATGTGGGGTTTAATACTGAAAGCATATCTGTATTTTATAAAATCTTAGTGTTATACAAATTGGGTTCTTTTTATTTTTATTTTTTACATTTGCCATCTCTCTATCTATCTATATCTATATCTATCTATATATCTCTCTCTATCTATCTATATCTATCTATATCTCTCTCTATCTATCTATTATCTATCTATCTATCTATTATCTATCTATCTATCTATCTATCTATCTATCTATCTATCTATCATCTAGCTAGCTAGCTAGCTATCATCTATCTATCATCTATCATCATCTATATCTATCTATCTATCTGTCTATCTATCTAATATGTGTATATCTGTGCATGGAGCTCAGAGGTAAACCTGCAGGAGCTGATTCTCTTCCTCCTCTGTGTAGGTTCTAGGAATCAAACTCAAGTCATTGAGTTTTGCATCAAGGAATGCCCTTCATCTGCTGATCCATCTTGAACTGGATTCTTTTGAGGAATTTGTAATATGATAAATTGATACTAATATGACAAGGAAAATGATTAGATAATGAAATACTATACCCAATATCTCATGTTCATTAACCATCAGTTTTGACTTGAGGTTCCTAAGTGAAGAACATTTATCAAAAGCATTTCACAAATCATTCCCAAAGGAGAGAAAGTGAAGGATTCTTAGACTTGATGTAAAGAATGTTGACTGTAGTCTGACTATCTTGTCAGGACTACCGACTCCCCAGTAATCACAGTGAGACTTAATGTTAATTATGAAAGCTTGGCCTTTGTCTTGGGCTTGTTCCCAACCAGCTCTTATAACTCAAATTAACCTGTTTCTATTAATCTATGTTCTGCCACTTGGCTTTTATCTCTCTCCCATTCTGTATGTCTGACTTGTTCTGCATCTTGCTGTTGTCTCCACCTTTCTTCTTCCCAGAGTTCCTCTCTCTTCCTGGGAATCTCTCCTATCCTCTCCTGCCTAGCTGTTGGCCATTCAGCTTTTTATTAAACCAATCAGAAGGCACCTTAGGCAGACACAAAAATTACAAAAGTATTTCCCCACAACAGTTGACTATTCTGAAGTCAATGCACAAGACTTCTGGAAATGTAATGAAGAAGACTGTGCCCTAAAATGTTTCCTTGTGGTAGAACGTTGTTCTGAGATTCACTGCACCACAGTTTTGTTTGTATATAAAGCACAGAAGCCAAGATTTCATGTTCGCTCTGTGTGTTCTTGGTGACAAGCAACTGCTCTGCCTTTTCCAGGTACACTTTCCCCCTTGTTCTCCGTCCTCCTTTGGATAGCAGTGGCCGTCTGCACATCTATGCTGTTTTTCTTCTCCAAGCCTGTGGGTATCCGGCCATTTCTAGTATCCATCATGCTCAGATCGATATACACCATCGGCCTGGGACCAACACTAATACTTCTTGGTGCTGCTAATGTAAGTGCATTGCTTAACTTTGTATCTTATGGAATTCGATGTACCAAGTATAACCATAGTTAGCTCTATGCTTTTATTCATGTGCATACAGTGAATTCAGGGTTGATGGGAATCTACGTTAACTAGAGTATCATTTGTGCACACTTTAATTTGGAGAGAAAGAACAAAAATACGACTAACCCATTGATTTAAGCAGCACTTGAAGGGTGACCCAGTTCTGCTGTCCATTTCATCATGGCTAATGTTCTCACTGTACCATACCTGCTATTACGGAAAAAATGACCCAGCCACTGTTAACACCTGAAAGTGGGTTCTAAATCATCCCGAAAGATTCAATTATGTTCAGTAGAAGTTAAGGAGTACTTTCTTCCAAATGACTTAGAAGTGGGGAGAAAAGACTGCTAGACGAAAAATAAGGTCCCAAATTGAGCTCCTTTTCTATGAGAAAACCTATAAACTTATAAAAGGCACAGGGAGATTTTTGTATATTAGAGCAAGTGACTGCCTTTTGACATGGTAGTTTCAAGCATAGAGTGAACAAACTGGAAGTATCATGCCAAGAAGCTAATGAAAGATTTGTAGACGTAATTTAAACAAAAAATATAAAACTTTGAATAGACTCTGCCAACTTTAGGCAAGGTATATCTGTAAATGGATATGAAGAAAAGATAAATCATCAAATTGATGAAAAACAAATGGTCAGAAATCACATAAATATTATTGTATCTACATAATCAATACCTAAAGCACTGCCTGTAACTTTCACTGGGTTCTTAACTGAAATGTTCTATATTCTGATGTCTTAGTTGGGATTATCTCCTATACTACCTCGTAGTTATTGAGGATAGTAATTGATAGTCACATTCCTGGGACGTCACAGGGAGTCTATGAATATTTTTTGAATAAGTAACTAATGAGTGAATGCATGGATGAATGACCAATATTTATTGAAAATAAATAAATTTGTTAACCAACTTTTAAGAACCAAGACGATGTAGTCAGTAGTCAATGCTGTGTTTTCAGTGTTTCTGGCCTTGGTCTTATCACAGTTCTCCCGGAGTTAAACAGTTCCACAGCTCTCATTGTCAGAATATTAAAAACAAATTCTCAGCTATCACCAGTGAAGGAAAGTGTGCGGCAAACCTGTGAGGTTTTGAACATTAACAGATACGCCCTTCTCTGGGTTTCTTAGGGGTTGAGCTATCACATTAGTGCATGGATCCGGTCCTCGCTCACCCACAGCTCCATGTTCCTGAATTATCTGTCCTTGCTCTTCCCCATCTCAATGGTGCCACGCCAGCCCTCCCTCCAGCTCACACCCATCTCCATTTCCCTCCACCCCATCCTTGGCCTTTGAACATTCAGAAATGATTTCAGGATATTGTATTGTCTTTGCTTTGAAAATATCACCAATCAAGACAATTAGACAATCATCAGGAATGTGGATAAATGTGTCTACACCTCTTGTGTTTGGCTCATGTCATTTCATAAGAAAACATGTTCAGCATGAAATTGCATTATTTAAAGAAGTAGATGTTATTCATAAACTGATCATTGACTAAACGAGAAAAACCTAAGTTTAAGAAAGTGAAGAGCCAGGCAGAGTTGTGCCCAGAGGAGCAAATGTTCTCTTCTGCACCTGTGATAGACATATAGAACACCGAGAGGTAGACTGTGTCGCTGGCCATAGAGAATTCATGTGCCATTTTCTGTTTCTTTCTACCTGTTTTTTTTTTTAAATCTTTGGACCAAGAGTATGTAGACAGAGGTAAGGAAAAACATTTGAATGTTCAGTGTGCACGTGAACTAAAATTATCCAGTCTTTTCCTGTCTCTAGTAGGACACTATAAAGTAATAAGTTCCATGTGGTTTGGTGAGAATCATACCATAAAATATTCTCTCCCAAAGTCAAGTTTTTATTGAACTGATTATGAGAAGGTGTTATGCATGTAGACATGTCAGTTTTATTAATTCCATGAATTTTTTAGTATTCCAATAGCATAAAACATGTTACTCGCCTAGACACTACCAGCAACCTGGGGTCATTTGACCAAAGAAAATAAAATCTTGTTGATTTGAGGCAAATTTAATGACATTGCTATAATTTGATACCAGTGCAGATGTTAGTAGAGAAGTTTATATTTATAATTTATTGTTGTAATTTGCTATCATAGATTAATAAAGTTATATTAGTGAATTACTGTATACTTCCCTCCTCACATAAATGCATTACACACTATCTTCATTCATCTTTACTGATGAGACATCAAATGAGAACATGAATCATATTTGTGTACCTTAGTATTAATTCTCTATATTATTAATAATATAAATTAATATACTAATTAATTTAATTTGTACATAGACATTTGCATTGTATGTCTGTTACTGCTGAAATAATAGATATCAGAATAAGAAAACCAAAAAAAAAATTAGTCTGACAGTCTAGACACAACAAGAAACAGAATTTGAGACTTCAGATATAAATCAACCAATCTCTGATTTCGCCCTTCTTGTGAGTTGGAGTAAGGTGTGGACAACTGGTCTACCCTCATCTGCCTGCTGAGATCAGTTGAGAATTTTGGTGTGGAAGACCCAGAAAAGATCAGTATTGATTCTATTGATGCAGTGGTGGTAACATCTACCATTTACCAAGTGTCTGATATATAGATCACTCATCAGTCAGATAGCATGGCCACCATGAGGCTTCTGCATCTTAGCTCATGCAGTAATTGGTCTCTAGACTCTGCCCCTCATGTGAAGCAAATATGAAGAGTTTCTTTTATGAGTAAGGAAGCACAATAAAGGAAGACCTCAGTATTTATCCGTTTATTGTGATAAAATTGAGTTCATTAAAGCTTGAAGCTTGTCTGCCTTTCAGACAGATTTTCCTGTCCGAGGCTGTGTTGACTGTCAAGAGCGATGCTGCTCCCACAACGGGGTTTGTCATACTGATCTGCTGACAGTTTAAAAGATTTCCAGGGTGATATTTAATTGTATGTAAATTTGATTTACATAGTGACCTTAAGATTTTATCCTGTCTAAGGTGTCATACCACATACCTGGAAATTATTGTAGGAAATCATCTCATTTTTCAGGAAAAGGTTGAATTTCATGCTTGAGGAGAAGATGGTGATATTGTTGGAGACAGTGGGTTTAGTTTTATCTTTTAAGACAGCAGATTGTCTTTTGCTTTGCTGCCCTCTCTTCTTGCATTCATTTGCCCTTGACACAAACGCCTTAAGCACAGGGACCGTTTCCACCTCCGAGCTCTGTGAGCACATGGAGAAGATGCAGTGCACTCTCCAACCTCAGTCCCCTTCCAGATGTCTCTAGGGCAGCAGCTTTCAACCTGTGGGTCACGGCCCCTTTGGGGGTCAGCTGATATCCCGTATATCAGATATTTGCAGTATAATTCATAACAGTAGCAAAATTATAGTTATGAAGTATCAATGAAAGTAATTTTATGGCTGGGGTCACCACATAGGGAACTATATTAGAGGGTCTCAGCATTAGCAAGGTTGAGAACCATTATTCTAGAGAGCAGAAGTCTATGTACCCAGCTATAGGTCAAGGGTCATGCAAACAAGCAAAGCACATCTCTTTGTCTTTCGTGTTAGCATGACCAAGTCCTGTTCAGACAGAAATGCATCTCGTCTTTTATGCTATGGAACTAAAATTTATTGATCATTTTGAGAATTCAGTTCAGTCTGTTACTGTCCAATGTGTCTGCTTTATGAAATAGTTTTCCTGCATGTTTTCTCTAACTCATCCTAGAAAGTCAGGAGATGATGCACAGGCCGCATGTCTGTGTTATACAAGTTGCCCTTGTGAAGAGGTTTTTAATTCTATTTTTGTTTAACCCCTTTCTATATCATATTGATAAACCTGAGTAGGCAAGCCAAGGTAAGTTGGTAAGTTGTGTGATTATGAACGGGGTCCCTCGAAAGCAACAGTGTAACAGCTGGATATTGCTTTGCCAGACATTCATTCTCAGCCTTGCTGCACACCCAGCTCACTGCCAGATATGGAACCTCTGTTGTTTATTCAATGCTTAGGATTTGAGCAGTTTTCTTTCGATCGGACTTGCTCTGAAGTCCCCATCATGTCTTAGCGCTACTGAGTGAGAACATAAGGGGCTGAAGAGCAAATAAGACTCCTGTTCAACAGCTGCTGAGATGCTGACAGGAGGGTGGAAGGGTTTCCCATGATTGTAGTGAGAGGAAGGACAGCTAAAATATAGTCATAGGTATCTAAGGAACACTTGAATAGTCATTATAGTAATTTCTGTGACTGTGTTATGTCAACTAGGCTCCTAAGGGGTCTTCTAAGGTAAGATCTCTTTATGGCAGGTTTTTAGAAACCACCAAGGCTTCCCATGGCAAGAACTAGGTTGTCCAAGAATAAGGAAAAGACAGATTTATACTCCATCTGTGTTGGTGGCAGAGCTACGGTCTGTCATTCTTTGTCCCCAGAGCTACAAAGAGAGCTAGTTCTGTATGTTGTTACGTGTGGTTTTGTAGACTGCCTGAAAAACACTCAGGAGGACACTGAGAAAGGCAACCACAGACTTAGCCATGCTCATCTTTCACAGTGTCTTCTTCCCTAGATGACCTTGAAGCACTAAAATCCCGCTTTCTCTTCCCTTTAGCTGTGTAATAAAATCGTGTTCCTGGTGAGCTTTGTGGGAAACCGAGGCACGTTCACCCGAGGTTATCGAGCGGTCATCCTGGACATGGCCTTTCTCTACCACGTGGCATATGTCTTGGTTTGCATGCTTGGCCTCTTTGTCCACGAGTTCTTCTACAGTTTCCTGGTGAGTCCAGCCTTAGGGACAATTGCTGCTGAGCCCACGATGTTGCACCTCTTACACCTTAGTCATTCAATTGGCTTCTTTTTGTTAGTTTTGTTGCTGTTATTGTTTGTTTTATTTTCAAGGCGCAGATTATGTTATTTATGGAATTGCCTAGAAGCTGCTTTGGGTTTTCAGCCAAGTAATATTTACTTAATTCACTGGTTATCTAGCTTCATAGGGGACAGATAAAGATGTCCTTTGTGCTAAAATCTTTATATCTTGTTTATAGTATCAAATGTTACATTAATCATTACAGTGGCGTGTAAGTAAATTGAGAAGGAACAAAAGGCACCCTAGCCAAAGACAAGCTGTTTAAAGTACAGCCTCTTAGCTTGTGCCATCGTTGTGAGTTTATGATGTCATCAACATTAGCTTATGTCACCATCTTTAGTTACATCACGTCATTGGCTCAAACCATCTTCAGCTGACGTCACCATCGTTAGCTTATGTCACCATCTTTAGTTACATCACATCATTGGCTTACACCATCATCTTTAGCTGACGTCACCATCTTCAGCTGACGTCACCATCGTTAGCTTATGTCACCATCTTTAGTTACATCACGTCATTGGCTCACACCACCATCTTCAGCTGATGTCACATCACCGCTGTTAGCTTATGTCACTACCTTTAAGTTATATTTAACTTATATCATCACAGCTAAGTTTAGCTATGTGCATTAAAATCTTTAGACAGGTTTTTCAAGTTTCTTTGTTTTTGTTCTGAGATGGCTTGCATCACTGGGTAGCCCAGGCTGGCCTCTCACTCAGTCTTCCCACCTCAGCCTCTGTGTGTGGGGTGGTTCCTGGGCTGTGTCACTGCCCCCAACCGTACATCCTTCCCAAGGATGCCCTCTCCTCCCCAGATGCCGTTTTCCTTTCTCCCTGTACACCGTGTTATAGCTGTGACTGGGGAAAGGAGCTGGAATAAAAACATGCTAAGATTAACTCAATGAGTGATATTCGAGTATGGGCACATGTGCCACAGTGCACGGCAGAAGTCAGGACAGACTTGGGTGTCGCCCCTCACCCACCACCTTGTTTGAGGCAAGAGTTTCTCATTTCATCACTATGAAGCCATCTACTCTGGCTCCTACTGAGTTAGAAGAAGATCTCTTTTATGTCAACCTAAGTGGCTAAAATGTTGAAGAAGCCAGAACACTGAACATCTTTATTGGAGAATATTGACTTTGTTTCTAACAATAGCTTCCCAAGAGAGAAACAGATAGCAAAGTAGTGGCCCTTTTAAGAAATTGGCTCATGGAATGCCAGTGTCCTAAAAACAGGCTGTGCCCAGCCGTGATGGGCAAGGCCGTGATTTACAGAGGACTGGTGGTTTTCAAAGGGTACACACATCTAACTGATCAGCCCAGCCCAGCCCGATTCTAGCTCTTACCTCCACATAAGAACACAAACTCTGAGTCTCCCAGTTTTGAAGATAGGATTCATTTTTAAACACTTTTGGACATTTCTGAAAATGAATATAATTTTATTCCTTTTATCTGCCTCTATACAACTGAACATGCGCTCACCGATTCTCCACTGCAGCGTATGTGTGTGAAATGCTCTCGGCACCAGCTGCAGGCAGCAAACATGTGCCTGAGTTCCCGATTAGTGTGTGGATTCCCCACTATTAAAGGCAGAACAGATGGGAACCCGTTAGAGGAAAGAAAGTTACCCTTTTTTGTTTGTGGTTCTGCTCTCAAATGTATAAATGAACACAGATTTTTATTCTCACTTACATATTGTTTTACTAAGGAGGAACGTCTCCATTTCCCAAATATTTTAAATTCAGATGTTTGCTGTGGCACCAGGCTCATAAAGTGTCCTTTCCACTTCACTTTGAGTCTTGCAATCAATCAAACAATAAATTTAAGGAATTTTTCAACTACCCATAAAATTGCATGTGCCTAATATTATACATTTTCTAAAGTCAAATGAAAATGTCTTAACAAAGCGGTGTGACGCTGACCGTGGAGTCAACATACGGACACTGTGGCTGCTGGAGCTGTCTTCACGGAAACCGTGTCTCCTGTATCCCAGCTCAACTGCTTAGGTTCGGTCAAAAATGTTATTTGTTTGAAAGCTCTTTTTTGTTTGCTTGTTTGTTTTTTCGAGACAGGGTTTCTCTGTAGCTTTGGAGTCTGTCCTGGAACTAGCTCTTGCAGACCAGACTGGCCTTGAACTCACAGAGATCTGCCTGCCTCTGCCTCCCGAGTGGTGGGATTGAAGGTGTGTGCCACCACCACCTGGCTTTGAAGGTTGTTTTTTAATTGTTATTTCTGTAGCTCTTTGATTTGGTGTACAGAGAAGAGACCCTGTTGAACGTCATCAAGAGCGTCACTCGGAATGGCCGCTCCATCATCCTGACCGCGGTCTTGGCTCTCATTCTGGTCTACCTGTTCTCCATCATTGGCTTCCTTTTCCTAAAGGATGACTTCACCATGGAAGTGGACAGACTGAAAACCAGAGCGCCAGTCACAGGTACCACTCCGCCTCCAAGCCCTGGCAGGTCTAACTTGTACACACCTTGTTTGTGGGATTTCAGACAAACATCAATAGGTAAAATTTTTACTTTCACCCTTAGAAAATGTGGTCTTGTTTACCACTGCTGTGGTTTGAGGGTGAAATGTCCCCGAGCCCCATGTGTTTGACATCTGGTCCCTGTGTGGTGGCACTGTTTGAGCTGGCGGAGCCGCTCTGGAGGAAGTGTTGGGCCTTGGGGTGGATAGTCTAGCCTCTCTTCCTGTCTGCCCTCTGCCTCCTGACTGCTAACACAGTGTGACCAGCTGCCGTGGCCGCCACTAGGTCCGGCTGTATCTCTTTGAACCGTTAGCCAAAATAAACTGTCCATTTCTTCCTCAAGTTGCTCGTTGTTAGGTGTTTTGATCCGAGCAATGATTAAAGTAACACAACTTCCAAGAGTTTGAGAATCTGAAATACTTTAGCCTGCACGCTGTCGGTGTGGGTTGGGAAATACACAAGAGACATCATCTGCTCTCCAGCTTACAGGGTTGCACAATGCTGACCATATTGCAGGAGGCGGCTGCAGCTTCACCGCGGGCAGTTCCAGGGTTTCTTTCCCCTCCTCTTCCCATTTCCCCAGAGAACAGGATCCATCACTGTGGGCAGTTCCAGGGTTTCTTCCCCCTCCTCTTCCCATTTCCCCAGAGAACAGTATCCAGCACCCAACAGCCACCACCCGGCCGTTCCCCCACAGGCACGGCATCACATTCTAACAACTGCAAACAATACACGCTTGCTTGGATTCGGAAACCTTTGGGTAGTAAGAGGAGGGCTTGGGAAGGCATGTTTAGGGGCTGTGGCTGAAGGACCCCGTTCAAGCTTGCATGATGTTTGCCATTGGACCACGTGGGGGAGCTGGTGTCCTCCCTGAGAAACCCACCATGTGGGGCTGTCCTCCCGGGTTATTTTTACTTTCTCACCCCTAATATACACCTTTTGTTGCTGGGTTCAATTCCTTCCTTAACCCTGCTTTGCTCTAAAGAAACCGTGGCTCTATACCGTGGTGTTTTCTTGATTCCACCAACTACTGTTTCTAGAGACAGGAAATCCCAAAAGACACGCTTTCTCCTCAAATCATTGACTTTAAAACTAAGATTTAGTTAGTGGGAACATAGGCATTCTTGCCTTTAATTGATACTTCATCCTTCCTTCCATCTCTCCTCCCTCCCTCCCTTCCTCCTTCCCTCTCTCCCTTCCTTTCTGTCTTTATGTCCTGACCACAGTTTCCCCTCCCCCCTTTCCTCCCATCCTCTCCTCCACCCCCTCTTTTCCTCCTCCCCCAATCCACTCCTCCCCTGTTTCTGTTCAGAAAGGGGCAGGCTTCCCATGGCTACCAACAAAGGATGGCTATTAAATTGCAGGAAGGCTAATAGGCACCACCCCTTTTATTTAGGCCGGGCAGACAATTCAGTATGAGGTGGATGGGGGAGTACTGAAAGAGATGACTGGAAGGGGGCACTTTTGGAGGTCAGGTAGGGACCAAATACAAGGGAAGCGCCCAGAAATCTACAAGGATATGACAGATAATTCTTCACTACGAAAATGACAATGTACAGTAATATCTTTCCTAAGAGATGGGATGACTATGTAGTGTTTAGATTTGTTCACTGGTGAGTCTACCTGCCTCGCGCATGTGACAGAAACACCAGCTGCACTGGAGACACCTTTGAACTCCACACCAAATGTTAGTCTTTGTTTTCGGGAACGTAAAATATGTTGCTGTTGCTTCATGTGACTTTTCTAGAGTGTCACACACAGGCCGTCGGCTTTCCATGTCACCCCATGTGACTCTAGCGTGTCACACACAGGCCGTCAGCTTTCCATTTGTAACTTTAATACAAGGAAATGACTGATCTTGGCAGCTTTTGTTTTTAGTTAATGTCACATCTCCCATCACCTTAGACCTGTGACCTCGTCAAGGGCACATCCCCAGTGACCCCCACAGTAGGCCTCACCTCCCAAAAGATCGGATAGCTCCCTGAGCTGGTGCCCACACCCTCAGTTTATGGCCCCGAGGGGCACTGGAAATGCAAGCCATTCCAGCGCCTTGGTGGGTGTGAAGGAAAAGCTGTTATGTAAGTGCCCGGTGCTCCCCTCTCTGAGCTCCTCAGGAGCTGTCTATCCTTAGCACTTGCAAGCCGCGTTTTCAATGCCTTTCTAGATCAGAGGCCCGGCCACATTTCCTTCAGTAGATCAGACGTAAACCAGAAGCTCTACAGCTTCCAAAACAAGCGTATACAGTAGCTGTGTTTTGAATTTGGTGGTAAATATTTTATGTTGTTTGAGGAGGAAGTCAGTTCTATATTGTGAATGTACTTTCTTTAGAAGTAGAAAAAATAAAACAAAAGAAACTTAAAGCTAAAATTTTAAGCTCTGTCTTTACTGAAAATCCATATACACATTAATATAGAAACAAGTCCAAAAAAACCATAAACATTAAAAAACAATTGGAAAATACCGCGAAAGCCCCACACATGGTGATAGCTAACGGACTTACCTCCCGGTTCTCTGTGGGCTCAAAACTTGAAAAGCATCTTCGTTTCCACTGAACTTCATTTCCACCACCGTGTAGCAGCGTTCTGTCGCCATAGCAGATGACTCGCGAGGCGTGGCGGTTTATAAAGGAAAGTGGTTCATGGTTCCCCAGGCTGGGGGAACCTGCTTGGTGTCTGAAGAGACTGTTCCTGTCACAGATGACAACACAGGGTGCCCTACTGTGAGGACAGGCAAACCAGGCTTTACCATGGTCTCCCTGTAGAGATAAACCGAGTGCACTGCTTTAACCCAGCCATGAGGAGAGAGGCACCATGCTTGATCACCTCGCAGCCCTTTGCAGCCAGGTTCAATTTCAGCGTGCACTTTGGCGGAAGTGTCTGGCCTGCAGCGGGATCTCAGCTGGTGCACAGCGTCTCCCTTCTTTGTGTTTTCAGCACTGTTGCTCACCAAGCTGGCCATGGTGAGATTACTGAGGCTAACACACTCAGGCAGCGAGTGATATTTCAGCTGCAGAAGGATGCGGTTCTTTAGCGGGTCTGACGTGATCAGAAACCACACAGATGGGAACAAGCGGGGAGGCGGAAAGACAGAGCTGGACAGTATGTCTTCACGGTGCTGGGATGTTGAATTAGGAGCGGCGAGGCTGCGTCCCCGGCACCCCGCCCACATGGCTAGCTTATGCCCCGAAATAATTACACGGAAACTGTATTCTTTCAAACACTGCCTGGCCCGGCTAGTTCCAGTTTCTTATTGGCTAGCTCTTACATATTGTTCTAACCCATTTCTAATATTCTGTGTAGCCCACGAGCTGGCTTACCAGGGAGGATCTTAACCTGCGTCTGTCTGGAGCGGGAGAATCATGGCGACTCCTTCACTAAGCTTCTTTCTCCCAGAATTTTCTTTTGTATACTCCGCCTACCTAATTTTCTATCCAATAAAATGGGCCAAGGCAGTTTCTTTATTATAATTAACCAATGTCCTTCCTCCATCACTGGGAGAGCAGGAAGACACGTGCCGTGCAGGTATCATTGGCGAATTAGAAGAATGGATTCTGCCTCTGGACCCAAGATCTCCTCTTAGTGGGCAAGAAGCAGCCACTCCTACGCGGCCAGAGCCGTTCACAGGGAAGCCCAAGGAGTGAAGTTCTCTTGACAAGTGGACACAGTATTCCAAAATAATCACATAGAAACTGTATTAATCAAATCACTGCTTGGCCCATTATGTCTAGCTTCTTATTGATTAACTCTTACATATTAATTTAATTCATTTCTATTCATCTGTGTATCTCCACGTGGCTGTGGCTTACCGGCATCTGTCTCTGGCGGGGCTACATGGCTTCTCCTTGACTCTGCCTCCTTCTCCCAGCATTCAGTTTAGTTTTCCCCACCTAGCTCTGTTGCCCTATTGCTCAGCTATAGGCCTGAAGCAGTTCTTTTATTAGCCAATGATATTCACGGCATACAGAGGGGGTTTTTATTAATCGTGCTACTGAACTGGATCTCCCTCTTCTATTGCATTTCTTCACATGAACCTTTGCTTTTCTTTGCCTGTCAGCTCCGTATCCTAGCTTTTGATCTCGTCAGTTCTCCAAAGCCTTGGATTCTGAGCCATTAGAGCCCCATGTGACACATTGAGACTTACAGAAGGACTGTCGTCAGGGCTCACTCAGAACTCCATCTCTGCCCCTCTCTGACCACTGACCAGCACTCCTGGTCCATGTCAGCGCCGACAGTGATGGGGACACTCCTTCCCAGTGCTGTCGCGGTGCCCCCCCCCGCCAGCCCGTTGCTCTTCACACCTCCTCCCACTACCACCTCCCATTTGTAAGATCTACTACTCTTGGTCCTCTCAGCTTGAGTCAAACTTTCAAGGTAAACTTTGTTTCATACAAATAGAAAGGTCACTCTCTCTGTACCATGTGGGCCAGTGAAACCAGGGGGGGATCCAGCAGAAAGAGGGGTTGCTGGGGACTCAGGAAGAAAAGTTAGGCTTCAGAAAAAAGAGTCTTCTGTCCTTGGACTCCTTGAAGCCTTTCTTCTCTGGGGCCCACATGTCATCGTGAGACCTGCCAACCCAAGGTCCTTACCTCAGCCACAGGGACTGGTGACTTCGTCTACAGATGGCTCCCTGCACTGGAAGGAAGCAGTTCTGACAGCCCAGGTCAGAACCCTGAATGTACCTGGCCACGGAAATATTAGAATTCATGTTTAGGTGAACAATATTATTAATACTTCATCACAGCCACTACAGGAAAAAAGATTGTATGAATAGAACTTTTTTGCACATTGATAACGAATCTATTCTCTATAAAATTGCTTAAACAGGCAAAACTGTGCTCGGAGCTGCAGGCTAACTTCCCAAAAAGACTTTAGGGATGCAGCTCAAATGAAGCACACATATCTTTAAACTAGAAACCTCTGTGGTCATGTGTCCATCCTGTCATGTGTGTATATGATGTTCTCTACAGTGCTCTGTGGTCATGTGTCCATCCTGTCATGTATGTATGTGCTCTCTGTAGTGCTCTGTGGTCATGTATCCATCTTGTCGTGTATGTATATGATGTTCTCTACAGTGCTCTGTGGTCATGTATCCATCTTGTCGTGTATGTATATGATGTTCTCTACAGTGCTCTGTGGTCATGTGTCCATCCTGTCATGTGTGTATATGATGTTCTCTACAGTGCTCTGTGGTCATGTGTCCATCCTGTCATGTATGTATGTGCTCTCTGTAGTGCTCTGTGGTCATGTATCCATCTTGTCGTGTATGTATATGATGTTCTCTACAGTGCTCTGTGGTCATGTATCCATCTTGTCGTGTATGTATATGATGTTCTCTACAGTGCTCTGTGGTCATGTGTCCATCCTGTCATGTGTGTATATGATGTTCTCTACAGTGCTCTGTGGTCATGTGTCCATCCTGTCATGTATGTATGTGCTCTCTACAGTGCTCTGTGGTCATGTGTCCATCCTGTCATGTATGTATATGATGTTCTCTACAGTGCTCTGTGGTCATGTGTCCATCCTGTCATGTATGTATATGATGTTCTCTACAGTGCTCTGTGGTCATGTGTCCATCCTGTCATGTATGTATATGATGTTCTCTACAGTGCTCTGTGGTCATGTGTCCATCCTGTCATGTATGTATGTGCTCTCTACAGTGCTCTGTGGTCATGTGTCCATCCTGTCATGTATGTATATGATGTTCTCTACAGTGCTCTGTGGTCATGTGTCCATCCTGTCATGTATGTATGTGCTCTCTACAGTGCTCTGTGGTCATGTGTCCATCCTGTCATGTATGTATATGATGTTCTCTACAGTGCTCTGTGGTCATGTGTCCATCCTGTCATGTATGTATGTGCTCTCTACAGTGCTCTGTGGTCATGTGTCCATCCTGTCATGTATGTATATGATGTTCTCTACAGTGCTCTGTGGTCATGTGTCCATCCTGTCATGTATGTATGTGCTCTCTACAGTGCTCTGTGGTCATGTGTCCATCCTGTCATGTGTGTATATGATGTTCTCTACAGTGCTCTGTGGTCATGTGTCCATCCTGTCATGTATGTATATGATGTTCTCTACAGTGCTCTGTGATCTGTCCATCCTGTCATGTATGTATATGATGTTCTCTGCAGTGCTCTGTGGTCATGTGTCCATCCTGTCATGTATGTATGTGCTCTCTACAGTGCTCTGCTCTTTGTCTTCCCAGGTAATCATGGGGCTCCCACCATAACCATACCTTCCATGATGGAAACATGCCAGAAGGAGAACTGCTCACCCATTATCCCTCCTTTGAACACAGGTATGTACTGACAACACAGGTCTGTACTTGTCCCTCTAACATGTAACTAGGTGTTTTATCATGTCTATGAGAGCTGATCTGGGACTTTATAATTGTGTTGAAATAGAAGGGCAGAAGGTAAAGGACCAAAATACCTCAGGCTAGAGAACGGAGTCTGCATTCGTTATACCGAGCAGCTGTCTTGCTCCTCACGGTGTTTCTGTTCAACAGAACCTGGCAGACTCATTGTGTGGAATGTGCTGATCCCAAACAGCAACCCACACTAAGGGATCCCCTTCCAACTGCTTGGCTACCAAAAAGGGATGTGGAAAAGCATGGATTCTACTCTAGAATCCCGGCTGTAACCCTGGGCTTGTCCCTTTCCTGGCTTATGTTTGGATAACTTGTAAGGACAGAAAAATGACCAAATAAAATCACCCTCCTTCCTAAGGAGCAAATTTAAAGTTATAAGAATAACTTTAGTTCTAAACCACTCTCTTAAGATGTAGAGGAGTCTGGGGACACAGCATGTATGTTACTTCCTAAATTGAAAGCAATAATGATGGATTTCTTAAAGCAGGAGATACAGTGGTTTGTGGGTGTGTAGTTGCAGGTGCCTAATAGTCATATCAGGCAAGCACTTTGTCCATGCACTACACTCAGCCCTTGTGGGCTGCAGATCTCTGCATAACCCAAAAGTTGTCATAGATGAAGAAGCGTGGAGACAGTTAAATGGTGAAGTCGATTCCGAACAGATGAGGGAAGTGACATGAAAGATGGAGGAAGGATGAAGCATTCAGTCATCTTTTTTCTTGAGCTGTTGGACTGTTGATGGGGAGGGCACGAATGGTCCCTCCTGCTGACTAAACCTTATACTGTCTGACCTAGAGAGTGTTGGAGAGGGGGCCACTTGTTCAGCCCAGCTGCCGGCTAGCTTAGCCCAAAAATAACCACATAGAAACTGTATTAATTAAGTCACTGCTTGGCCCATTAGCTCTAGCATCTTATTAGCTAACTCTTATATTAATTTAACCCATTTCTATTGATCTGTGTATCACCACATGGCAGTGGCTTACCAGGTAAAAGTGAAATTCCCAGCTTCTGTTTCTGGCAGCTCCATGGCGTCTCCCTGACTCTGCTTTCTTCTTCCCAGAATTCTATTTAGTTTTCCCTGCCTAGCTCTGTTCCCCTAGAGCTCTGCTATAGGCCCAAAGCAGTTCCTTTATTAACCAATTAAAGCAACACATAGACAGAAGGACCGCCTACACCAAGAAAGAGAATGAAGCTCTTGTATTCATTCCATATAGTGTCTGACGGCAGGGCACTTGAGATGTTTCCAGCAAGGCTTGCCTGACCCCATGCAAAGCTCACACAAGAGCCAGCTCTTCTTGGCTTAGCTGGGATTACCGAGCAACCCCTCTCTGAAGCTGTATTATGTGTGTCTCTTGGTTCAAACCCCTCTGCTCTCTTCAGCTTTCCTCACAGACACAGCAGAGTTTCTTGGCTTCATACTCATAGGCAAGCTGCCCAATACTGCTCTCGCTGTGATGTTGGGACCCTTGAGTCACCCCCTATGCTTTTAAAGACTTATTTTTATTTTCTATTTATGTACATGGTACGTGTGTATGAGCACCTACAGAGGCCAGAAGGAGTGTCACATCACCGTGACCTGGAGTTACTGGTGGTTGTGAAGTGCCTGCTAGCACCATGGGAGATGATGCAGGTCCTCTATAACAGCACTATGTCCCTTAACCACTGCGCCGTCTCTCAAACCATCCCACATTACTGACTGCATTTGGCTGTCTCTTGGCAGAAGTGCCATTCTTGATGGCTTAGCTGTCATCCCATAAATATCCGCCCTGGGCTCATATAATTGGGACTTTGGGATCTCACAAATGAAGCTGAACATTTATTCCTGAGTATTTCCGCCAACCCATAGTGCTAGGATGTGACGGATTCTCCTGCAAGTGTGTTGGGACCTGGTGGTGTCCGGGTCTCCAGGTCCTTCTGTTCCTTAATCCCATTCTCCCTAGTCATGCCATCCTTGGCTTTGACAAGACCTCGGTTGGAGCTTAAAGAGCTGACCCGTAGCTTGTCTTTACATGGCTCTTCACCTAAGGATGGGTTGAAGGAAGATAAATAATAGGAAGTGGGTTGGCCCAAAGGCCCTGAGAAGTTTCATCTGGACCCTCACAGATTAAAAAGGAGTCCGACTTCTGTCTAGATATTCCCCCAGGATATCTGGGAGTGTTGCAGAGGATTGTGGCAGGACTTTCAGGGCCTGGGAACACGCTCAGGTGCACATGGTCATGCCTTATAGAGTTCTTCAGCTTCCTAGAAATACGTCACAAGTGGGATGGGGTAGGCAGCTCCGTCAGTCAAGTACTTGCTGTACAAGCATAAGGGTATGAGTTCGATTCCCAAAACATGCACACATGCATGCACACGCATCCACACACACATGCACACATGCATGCACACACTCATGCACACGCATGCACAGACACCACACAACTAGGCATTGCAGTACACATTTGTACCCCTAAAACTTGGAGGAGGGGATAAGAGGAACCCCAGGGCTCAATGGTCCCCCAGTCTAGCTAAAGAGTAATTAAAAAAGGCAACCAATGTCAACCTCTGACTTCCACATTCATGTGCATGTACATGCACACACACACACAGAGATAGATAGATAGATAGAGAGAGAGAGAGAGAGAGAGAGAGAGAGAGAGAATAAACTATCTATATACCCTCTAATTTTTAAAAAATTCTTGTGAAATCCACCTCACTGGTTTTGGGGCACAGTGCCTGCCCATCCCCAGTCGCAGGTCAGTCTGTGCTGCCGTCCCCCTCCTCCCCACAGCATCAGGTCAAAGACCCACTCGAGCACCTTCTGTTAGCATACAGTCATTCATCAGCAGTTTTCAGAGTCTGCCTCCATCTCAAGTCCCTGACTATGGATGTTTCTTGCTTACTAAGGACAAACAGGGACAGTCTTCACCCCGGGTACAGCATTTCCTTTCCCAAGGTCTGATAGCAGTGTGTGGAAATCTTGTAGAGAAAGCTGCCAGAGGGTTGGAAACTGTATTGGAGCTGGGGTGTCGGGGGCAGCTTTCCTAGTGGAGGTTCTCCCCAGCTGGAACCGAAGACACTGAAAAGCCACGGCAGAGTCTTTAGGCACTTCACATTCAAGGGTTAAAATAGATTTGATTAGAATTTGGAAAGTCTATAAATTTGACTTTTGTTTTTATAATTCAAGTTTTAATTTTTTTAAAAGTAGAATATCACTATTTAAGCCCTGGATATACTAAAACTCAATATGTAGATTAGACTGACCTTGAACTCAACGAAATCCACCTGCTTCTGCCTCTTGAGTACTGGGATTAAAGGTGTGCAACACCAACACCCCCAGTGGATTTGACCTATAAATTTTACCAATATTAATAATTTTACTAATTTGATTAAAAATGTGTGGATTTTTATCTCCAGGGGCTTGTTTCCTCTAAATTTTGGCAGAATGTGTTTAGCAGCAGGTTTTTTTTTTTTGGAAAGCCTATGAGACTGATCTTGTGGTCTTCTTTCAATGTTGGCTGTGTGAGTTTAGCCACGTAAGTAGAGAGAAAGCTGGAGTCTGGTGTTTATTGTGCAACATGTGTCTTTTAGACTTAAAAATAGCCTTCCTCTGTCTAGGGCAGGGATGCAGTTCTATTTTGTGAGCTGTGGTGTGCATTGTGAGGGCCTTGCTTGCTGTCTGTGGCCAGAAGGTGCACACCGCAGAAGGTCCAGGCACACAGTACCTGCAGAAGAGCCGGGGACAGCTGGCAAACAGCAGTGGCCCTGGGAAGCCTTCTATAGATGCAGGCCCAGGCATTTTCCCAGCAGCAGAGAACTCGCAAGACAACTGGTAACTAATTCAACTTGAAAAACACTCCAAAAATTTTGTATTTCACTTGCTTCAAGCCTGCCAGAATCTGAGATGAAAATACTTACCTAACCCCCCACCCCAAACTGACTTTTCCAGAAAAGCTGAGCTTTGTTAAGATGATACTAAAAGTATAATCACAAGTGTTTTGTGAGTCAATGCCATTTGCACGTTCAGGAGAATAAAAAGCTCGCATGTGTTTAGCATATATGAGACCAAGTTTAATCTCCTGGTAGCCTCCTTTAATAGAAAAGATTGGAGGTTAGCAGCAGAGATTGTGAAGCTAGTACATGCTACATTTGGGATTTCCACTGGATAGCAAGTGTTTTTAAAACACTTTTCTAGTCACACACACACACACACAAAATTTCAATCAATGTTTCTGTAACTGGCGGGTCGCCATTAAAGTTTTAAGAGGGTCTGAGCCACACTCAGATTTGCACGTGAGTCTCAGCTCCAGGCTGCTGTGTCTATGGGGGTCACAAACAACAAATAATTTAATTATTGAAGCATAAAAGGGAGACATCAATAAACACTTAGGTTCAAGCATGTCTGTATTTTTAAGATGTATTTACCTGTGTATTTGTGTGTTGGTGTGAGTGTATGCCAAGTCAGAAGAGGGCTCTGGATGCCTTGGGGCTCAAGTCATAGGCTTTGAGAGCCGCCCTGCATAGATGCTAGCAACTGAACTCTGGTCCTCTGGAAGACCAGTAAGTTCTCATAACCACTGATTGCCTCCAGCCAGAGCCCAGTGTTTTCTTATGTAGAGTAACTCTCCGAGTAAGAGAATAGCTTCAGGTCCAGGAGGATAGGCTTTTATTCCTTTCCTCAGGTGGGACTTTTTCTTACCATTAATTAAGGAAAATGGTTTTTCTGGTGGTCAGCTATAATCACATAACCTCACATCACTCATATGTCAGATTGGTCACTTGTGTTAAAACAATGACTTTTCATGAGATTAATGGTTACTGTAAGTGGATAATTGGTAGTTTGTATTCACTGAGCCCTAATAATGTACCAAACACTGTTCTAAATTCATGTGTGTGTGTGTGTGTGTGTGTGTGTGTGTGTGTGTGTGTAGGTGTGCCCCTGCCTTTCCATTGTGTTCAGGGAATGTTTTAGGCCTGACTATGCTGCCCAGGTCCTTCTTTAGATACTCAGTGCAGAGGCCACTGCCTTCAGGATGCCCAAGCTGCTGGGTGTTTACTCACCTGCTGGCCCACCCTCTTGGGGACCATAAGGCTCCTGTAGGCTGAGATGCTTATACCTGTATCTGCTTTTCCTCACACAAAGCTCGCGTTGTATGAGAAAGATCAGCTTGTCACACAAGTGACCACAAGGTGGCACTTACCTATGGGATCCCTGAATGACTTCTTGAGAGTGGACTCGTGTCAAACAGTAGAACCTTTTAGTAAAGTCACAGAGGCTGCTGTGTGACCCTGGCATGCCTGTGTGGCTGCTCATGGAGGCTGCTGTGTGACCCCAGCATGCCTGTGTGGCTGCTCATGGAGGCTGCTGTGTGACTCCAGCATGCCTGTGTGGCTGTTCATGTATGACCCCAGCATGCATGCGTGGCTGCTCATGCCTGTGAAGCTCATGGAGGCTGCTGTGTGACCCCAGCATGCCTGTGTGGCTGCCATTGAGCGAGACGAGTGGGTCAGTGCACTGACCTGACGTGGGCATCCTCCTGCAGTCTTGCTATATGTTTGTAGTCAACTAAATTTTGTAAAGTTTTATTCATCTGATTTTTATATTTTAAAAACTTGAGTAACTCTGCCACACCACTCCTCTACACTTCGTTCTTGTCAATTGCACAGTCGTGGCCTTCATTGTGACATTTCCATGTGGGCATTTAATGAGCTTGAGCTTGGTGCATATTTAATCCCCATTTCCCTTTCTTGGCTCCTCCCCCACAGTCCTAATAGTCCCCGGCCCCTTTGTAATTTCATGTCTTCTAAGTTATAGATATGAGAGAAAACAAACGGCTGTTGTCTGTGTGAGTCCTGTTCCATCCATTTTCCTACAAACAATGTAATTGCTTTCTTGTTTATGAATGAGTGAAACTGTTGTGTATACAAACCACATTTTCTTTTGTGGGGTCCTTCGTCTGTGATATGTACCCAGGATGCTCCTGTCTTCTGGCTACTGTAACAGTGCCCCCGTGAACATGAGCATACGTTTCTCTGTAATGAGCTGTCTTTGATTATTTGGAATCTGAACCAGAAGTAGTAGAGTTGGATCCTGTATTGTCTCAGGTTTTAATTTTTTGAGGAACTTCCATGCTCATATTATATAGGGACTGCATTAACTTACATTCCCACCAGCTTTATAGAAGGGTCACATTCCTACACACACACACACACACACACCCTCACTACAGTTGTTGTTGGGTTGGTTTTTTTTTTTTTTTTTGAGTCTTGATGGCAGACATATGATATGGAGTGAGATGGGACGACAATGTAGTTGTGATTTGTCTTTTTCTTGTGGCTGGTGGTGGTGGCGACATTTTTGTATGTGTTCTTGGCAGCCCGTGTGTTTATTTCACCGTGGCTAATCACATGTGTGGTGTGTAGTAGGAGGCCACTTGTTCGCTTCCCGGCTGCCCAGACTCCCAAAATAACCACACAGAAACTGTATTAATTAAATCACCTGCTTGGCCAATCAATATAGCATATTCCTAGCAAACTCTTAAATATTAAATTAACCCATTTCCATTATTTTATATTTACCACGTGGCTGTGGCTTCCTGTCAAGGCTCCAGCATGTCTGTCTCTGGTGGTGGCGCCATCGCTTCTCTCTGACTCCACCTCCTTTCTTCCAGCATTCAGTTTAGTTTTCCCCCACCTATCTCTACCCTATCACAGGCCTAAGATAGTTTCTTTATTAACCAATGGCACTCACAGCATGCAGAGGGTAACCCTAGCTCCCAAACAACCTCATTTCCTGTCACTTCTGCGAGTGCCCACCTAATTGGCACATTGTGGTCTTCAGCTGGCATCTGCTTCGCTACACCCTTGTGCTTGCCAGTTAATAAGTGAACGTATCCAGTGTCCTGCAACAGTTGTTACTCGTTTGTTTTGATTGAAAGCCCAACTTTGGCAAAGAAGCAGCGGCTCTACTCCCAGTTACCTCCCTCCTGGAATCCTGAAACTCTGTGGCAATCTCTTTAGGTCTCAATCCTTTCCTTGTTCTGTCCTGCTGATCTGTCACTACCACAAAGCAGCCCCAGTCCATGTTGCTCCTCCCTCCCCAAATCCCTTCAGATTTCCAGGTCAGAAATCTGGTTCACACAATCTGTCTGTCTCCGATGCTGTGTGTGTGTGCCTGTCTCTGCATGCAGCCCTCCTGCCAGGGTTATTCCAGCATACTGTAAAAGGAGCAACATGGACTCATGTAAGACTATCAGGGTCCCTCTTCCAAAGGATAAAAAATAAAATCTGCTCGGAAGAGAGAAATCCGCCTTCTCCTAACAATGCCTGCACAGTTTGTTGGCCTTACGTCACTCAGAGAGGCAGATTCCCTTCCCCAGGTCAGTGGTTGCTTTGACATTCCTGCCTTGACCTGCAGACCTTAGCCCCAGGTCCCCAAATCCCCTGAGGTGAGGCTCTTTAACTTTGTAACAAAACCAGCCTTTGCCTTTCTGTTCATTTGCTAACATGACTGAAGTCTGGTTGTCATGGCCAGCGAGCAACAGTCCTTGCTTTAGTGGTTTTATGTTTTCTGTCTGGATCTTTCAGCACACGGTCAAGTCTCTTGTGTCTTCTCCTTCTTTTTTTTTTCTTTTTTTCTTTTTTTTTTTTTTTTTTGGTTTTCCGAGACAGGATTTCTCTGTGGTTTTGGAGCCTGTCCTGGAACTAGCTCTTGTAGACCAAGCTGGTCTCGAACTCAGATCCTCCTGCCTCTGCCTCCCAAGTGCTGGGATTAAAGGCATGTGCCACCACCGCCTGGCTTGTGTCTTCTCATTCTTAAGCAGGAATTCACCTCTAGTTCCAAGCGGTCCCTCAGAAAGCTCTGAAACTTACTCCAAATAATGACAGAATTGTCACTCACCCAAATGTAAGCTCCTATTGTGGGCAGTTCTAACATGCCTGGCATGGTGCTTGGCCAACCCTCCAACCTACAGCATTTTCCTCCTTCTGTCTGAGTTGCTTCATAGCCTGGTTCATCCGTCTGTCTACATCTCTTTGCAGACTGGCTAGAGAACTGGTCAACCAGCTTCCAATACAGTCAGACATCTGAACTTTGACCTCGTCACACTTTACCTTTCTCTCCTGTCATTTTCCACCAAGCCAAGAAAAGCAGAATTTCAAAATATTATGTGAGTGATCTACACATGTCAGTCACGTGTGTGTCAGCCACATGTAAAGTAGATGTCACGTGACTTTAAAAAATTATGTCTGGCGCACTAGAAGCAGATTCTTGGGCGTAGGTAATAGTGTGTTCTCAAGACTCTTGTGTGTTTCTGCAGCTGATGAAGGCAGTGAAGATGGAATAGAAAGGACGTGTGACACCCTGCTCATGTGCATCGTCACGGTGCTCAACCAGGGCCTCAGGAACGGCGGTGGAGTAGGCGACGTGCTGAGACGGCCCTCGAAAGATGTGAGCACAACGGCCTCCCCTCTGTCCTCCCTTCATGTCTGTCCTTCCTCCATTGCTTCCTCCTCCCCCTCAGCCTCCCTCCCTCCCTCCCTTCCTCCCTCACTCCTTCCATCCACCCTTTCCTTCTTTCCTGAATTGGGGATTGAACCTATCAACATGATATATCCCCAGACTTCTTTTCACTTTAAAAAAAAAAAGATTTATTTATTATATATACAGTATTCTGCAGGCTAGAAGAAGGCGCCAGCTCTCATTACAGATGGTTGTGAGCCACTATATGAATGCTGGGAATTGAACTCAGGACCTCTGAAAGGGCAGTCAGTGCTCTTAACCCCTAAGCCATTTCTCCAGTCTCTCTCTTTTTACTTTTTAAACTTTGAGATTAGGAGTTTCACTACATTGCCCAGGCTGGTCCTAAACTCACTCTGTAGCCCAGGCTGGCCCTGAGGAGGCCTCCCGACAGGCCCATAGCCCATGAAACACCTTCCTTGCCAGTATTTACAGTATGGTTTTGGTTTCCAGGGCTACAGTGACGTTTGCCTTTGAGGTGTAAAGGTGGCTGTAAAACCAGTGAATTGCACAGTGGAATCCCAGAGGATCAGGGGTGAACCAAAAGGCTATGGCTGTAGCTGGGCTCCAGTCTGAACTGCACATTGTGCCACGGCAGCAAAAGTATGGCCACAAACTCTATAGGAGCTGATTGTTAAATAGAACACAGCAGCTCGGCTGCCTGTGTCTACAGAATTCCCAGGTGCATGGGTTTCCTCTGCTCTGCATAGGAACAACCGCCACTGTTTACCACGATGAAGGCAAAGTGTGGATGAGTTCTCACAGAACTTCAGACATTCAGCTGAAAAGGCGAGAGCGTTTCTCAGTAACTGTGAATGTTGAAGCACCAGGCTGGAAGCCTGAGAAGTTTTCTTCTGCAGCCCTCCTGCCATGTAATGTCCAATCATCTTGTTATTAAGCTCGGCTCTCATAGGAGCAGCTGGATCCCTTGGTCTCTGGTGTGTGTTTTACCATTGCAGACCAGACAGGATCCACAAGAGCTGTGTCCTTGTCAGAATAAGGACAGAACTGACTGCAGAACTTGAGAAAGCACCAGGGTTTCCTCAACTAACCTTGGGATTGTGTTTGACCCCTTTCTGCTTGATGTCTGGGGAGACCTGCATGATTGCTTTTCTCATCCATATGTTAAAAATGCCCAAAAAAGCAAATTAAGGAAAGAAGGGTTCATTTTGGCTCACATAGCTTCTACCCCCAGGAAGCAGAGAGTGAGCAGGGGCAGGTCTGGTCTATAAGGCTTCAAGACCCACCCCCACTGACTCACTTCCTCTGGTGAGGCTCCACCTCCTGAAGGGTCCACAACCTTCCCAAACAGCACCACCAGGTCAGGACCTCATGTCCAGACAACGTGAGCCTGTGCAGACGATTTGAATCCATCACCAGTAACAACACACGAGAAAGTGTTGTCCTGTCTGGGTTAAAGTGAATCAGCTCCAGAGAAACAGAGGAATTCTGAAAGCAGGCTTCAGGCATTCCCTTAACTGGAGGGGAAATAAGGGCAGAGAGAGGTTTCACTTTCCTAACAGGCAGCTGTTTGTGGTCACTCAGATATCTGTCGATTATCTGCTCTCTGCCGGACAGCATGCTAACGGGACCGCCGTGAAGTGCATGTGTATTCTATGTGTGTTTTGCACTTCTGTTTCAGGAGCCCTTGTTTGCTGCCCGGGTGATTTATGACCTCCTTTTCTTCTTCATCGTCATTATTATCGTCCTTAACCTGATTTTTGGTGTGATCATTGACACCTTTGCTGACCTCAGAAGTGAGAAGCAGAAGAAAGAAGAAATTCTGAAGACAACCTGTTTCATCTGCGGTAGGTGCCCCCACCCCTGTTATGGTGAGAGATGGGTAAATTGCCCCCAAGATGCAATAATGGATAGACAAACTGCTCAGCAGAAAAGAGGGATGAAAATGATTTCCACTTTTCATGCTTTAGGAAAAAATATTTTAATGTGAAGGCTGGGTAAAATCCAGGTTGCATAATGTTGCGTGAGACTGACATTCTCTGCTTCCATAAATAGATGCAAGAATCACCCCAAACTCTGCTGCCATTATCTCTGCGGTTTATCTCGTCCTCTGACTGTAGAGTGTGCTGCCAGATGCAGGCGGTTCCACCAACTGGCAGACGAGTTTTTCATCACAATAGCACATTGAGTATATTACAGAGTGACTTTTATTTTGTTAGATTATGAACCCAAAGATTCCACTCATTGGCATCACCATTTTATATTCAAAACTAGGCATTATCCTACCATTACGGCTGCACACACACACACAGAACATGCATTTCATGGAACATACAAATACTATAGAACATACCACACTTGTGTACATTATACACCTGCCATACCCCATACCCCCACACTAGATACAACCTACTACAGGCTGCATACACACACACACCACATATACTGCACATGTGTGCACACACATCCTTTTCTTCTGCCCCATAATTGTCTCTCAGGCAGAACCAACTTTTTCTTCATGGCCATCTTCTCTCAATTTTCCCTTCTCTCTACCCATCATCCCTCTCTGGCTTCACCTGCCGCTGTGATCCCTCCTCTGAACCCCAGACTCACACTCGCCCCTGCACTCTCCTGTCCTTCGGTCTTCACCACAGTGTCTACCGTCTAACTTAAGCCGGGCCTTGGGGAGGCCTTTCTCTGCCTCCATGGCTTTTCTCACTTTGTTCCATTCTCCTCTGCGGCTCCTTCCTCCCGCTGAAGGTGAACCTGGGAATAACGTGTCATAATACGCACGCCCTAGGGAAGAAGGCATATTAACCGTGACCTGTTTCAGCATTTGTGATCTGTGCTGAAACAGTCAGTCAGTCAAGTCAAACAGACAGACAGACAGACACACACGCAAGGGAGATGATAGAGAAGTCTGGTTTGCCGAAGGTAACAAGAAGATAGACACTTCTTTTTTTATTGATTTTTATTGAGCTCTACATTTTTCTCTGCTGAGGGAAATGCAGACACCTGGGAGTGGGGTGTGCGTGCTCTGACCTGCTGGTTCTATCAAGGTGGGATGTGCTGTTGCTGCTAAGGTCATAGGACAGATGGGTGCTGGCCCCTGGATTCCAATCAGGTCATGGTGATTTCAGGAGCAGTTCTTTTGTGTTCCACCTTGAGGTCAGCCCAGACTGACACAATCCCAGAAAAGGAGTGGATGAACTAAGCCTTGCAGAGACATGCATGCTAGACCAAGAGCCTACCAGGAGTCTCCCTCTGGGTGATTGGGCAGAGCCAGGTGGAGAACATTTGACTGGTGTCGCAGCACCAAGAATCCTGTGCCTGTGAGCGAATAGGAAGGCGCCTGAGGAGCGCCTCAGGTCCCGTGAGCTGTGAGAGACTCCCTGAGTCCTCTTTTATAATGGCGGCGTAACTGTTGACCAGAGCACCGTGAAGAGAGCCTCTGTCTGCCCCTTTACACGAAGGGAGGCAAGAGCTATGCGATGTGCATTGCTTCTGTGCCTTCATGGCTGGCGACATTGCCTCTCTTCTTCCTCCTCCTTCCCCCTTTCTCATGTTCATGTATACATGATGTGGGTGTCCTTCCGTATATGTGTTGCTTTTGTTGGTTAATAAATACAGCTGCTTTGGCTTATGGCAGGGCAGAATAGAGCCAGGCTGGAAGGGATAGAGAGAGAGAGGAGGTGGAGTCAGAGAGACGTCAGACAACTGCTGAAGGAGGATATGCTGGAACCTTACCCAGTAAGCCAGCCTCATGATAATACATAGATTAATAGAAATGGGTTAACTTAAGATGTAAGAGTTAGTTAATAAGAAGCCTGAGCTAAGAGGCCATACAGTGTTGTAATTAATATAGTTTCTATGTAATTATTTGGGTCTTGGCAGCTGTGAAACAAGCAGTCTCTGCATATATATATCCTTACATGTACATGCATACACACATATACATATGTACGTATATACATATGGAATATAATTTGTGACCAACTGCCAGAGCAAGGCAGGCCAATAGCATGAACGGAAGACTCTTGTTCTTCTGTTTGTCATTGGGCTGCTTGATGGTTTAGAAAGAGCAGGCTGCCCAGGGCGGAGCTCAGATTTGCTTGAAGGAAGCTGATGCCAAAGAAGAATCTCTTGTCTGTGTCTGGACAGGATGAGGAAAGTGAGATTGGGGTGCTACATCCACAGAGATATCCTGCGGCCACTCAGGAGTGTGAAGAAGAAACATGTGTAGAAACCTGAAGAAATACTCCTTCAATCCTGAGAGAGAACTAAACCCCTGTACCTTGGAAAAAATCAAAAACAAGCAAACAAAATGACCTAGTTTCTCTCTGCATGAAACTTATGGCTGTTTTTGCTTCTCCTCAGTGAGTTGTGTGTTGCCTCCCAAAGAACAGTCTTCTTCATCCGCATCTTTGGCTGTCAGAGATGCCCCATTCCTTCACGCTAGCTCTCTAGAAGAGGGGTTCTGATTTTGCATGCACCCCATTCCTCAGTGTCTCATCACCCTTCTCTGCCATGCCCATTTAACCCCACTTTGGCTGGGTACACACCCCAGCACCACCACTCCAGGCTTCCTCTTCTCTTGTGTTGACTAGACAGTGAAGCTGGCACAACCTCCTGGCAGCCACACGGACCCAGCCAAGATGCAGTGTCCTGTGTCTTCTCCCCCTTCCTCTTCTCAGCTCCAGATCCTGCCTGGCATATGGCAGCAACAGATCTCTGACTGCCTGAAGTAAGCAGGGCTGGAAGTCCTCCCTCCCTCACGCCAGCATCTCTCCTCCCTCCTTCCAACACTCCAGCTACCCTGGGCTAACAGATCTGCTTCCACAGGCTCACAGCGCATCCTGCCATGCATCCTCACAGCCACACACGGGCCTGCTCAGTGCTGCCAGGCTAACTTGTCCAGTACAAAAGCCATAAGCAACATGGTACCACCATTACTGTTAAGTTCTAGTTTTCCTGGTAGTGAAACACTTCACAATCTGGAACCCTTCTCCTCCTCCTCCGTTTCTTTCTTTTCCTTTCCCTCTTTGTAGATGGATTTTTCTTTGGGCCGCCAGCTCACAAAATATAACACGGAAACTTATTAATTATAAAAGCTTGGCCTATAGCTTAGGCCTGTCCCACTAGCTCGTATAACTTAAATTGACCCATTTCTCTTCATCTGTGTCTTGCGACGTGACTTGTGGCTTTTACCTCTCCTCATGCATGTCTTGCTCCCTCTGCATCCAGCTGGCCACCTCGCCTTTCTCCTTCCCTGAGCTCTGTCTGTCAAGAAGTCCCACCTATACCTCCTACCTAGCTATTGGCCAGTGAGATATTTGTTAAAGCAACCACGATGACAATGACTTGTCTTTACACACTGTAACAAAATATCTCACAACACCTCTTCCCCTTCTCTCCCTTCCCTCTTCTTCCCCTTCTTTAAGGTGTTTTCATCCGTTTTCCTCTCATTTGTGTTTCAAATCCCAGTCTGAGTACGTTCCTCACCGTTCCCACTGTAGTGAGAGGATGTACTGGCTGAAATCACGCCCCTGAGAGCCATGGAACTCCATCCTGTCTTTAAGGCACAGCCCCAGTGTAGGATTCATGAACGCTTTTCAAAGTCTCACTCAACAGGATAAACGCGAGTGCTCCTGAATGGCTGTTGTCACATGGTGCTCAGTGGTACGTGTCTGCCTCTGTTTGATACCGTGTACCCTGATACTGTAGAAAGCCTATGAACTCCCTAGTCAGGTAGACACTACCTTCCATGGTCCTGCACCCAGACGACGTAACCTTGGCCAAACTTCTCGGCCTGGGCTGTTCTTTGCTTCTCTGGAATGAGGAGAGTCTACGGCCCTGCTTTGAGGCTGTGCTTGTTTTAATTGAGATCTTGTTTGTAGAATCCTCTGCTGCTGTGAAAAGGTGAGGAAGTTAATTGCTTCCATGTTTGTGTGGGGCTCGTTCATCAGTACCTGGTAATGAATGACTAGCCAGTAAATTAGCCCCAACACTTATACGGCTGGTTAGCTACACAAAAAGAGCAGCTCAGTACCGAGTCTATCTGTACTTCATGTCAAAAACCTAGGTGCAGATAGGGAGATAGCCCAGAAAAGTGCTTGTCACACGAGCTGAAGACCTGAGCTCAGATGTTCGCACCCACATGGAAGCTGAGCACAGCACTGTAAGCCTGCAACCCTTAGGAGGCGAGGCAGGCATACTGGGGCTCGCTGGCCATCCAGTTAGGCCTCAAAGTAAAGAAGTGATTGAGAAAATCCCTACATATACCTCTAGCCTCCACATGTGTGTGTATGTATGCAGCACATGACTACACAAACAAATCCTAGGTCTACTGATTCCAGATAGTTCCAGACTTTGCCACACACTGGGTATTGTCTCAGTGGTAGGACATTTCCCCAGATACAAGTGATGGATCCAGAGGTCCAGGGTGATGCTGTATCAACCAAGTCTATATTGATTTTCTGGAAGCTTTGTCCTTATTCAGAAGACTGAAGGATCATTTTGTAATTTAAGCTTAGAATAAATCTAAGCCTGTTGTCCTCTTGTCCTCCTGCATGCTCCCTTGGGCACGCATGCCACTCCAGAGCATTGCATGAGTCACCTTTTCCCACTGCCCTATTACAGGTTAAGGGATGGTGGAATCACTACTTTAGTATTCTGTTACTTGGCAAACAGGAGGGGCTTGGCCTTCATTCTGGAGTTTTCCTTTAATGCTCCCCTTTTTAGTGACTAGCTCTATTGTGATGTAATTCTCATACCTTAAAGCTCGCCCACTGAAGGTCTACAGTGCAGCCCCTTTAACCTATTCAGAATTGTGTGTACAACTTCTCCG